AAGGCAAGCCCTAGGGCGCCGACCAAGGACTCGTCCAACTTCTCCGGCCGTCTTGTTAACAGCTTCTCCTTTTTAACAAAACTCATGAATTTGGACATCCGCTTTTGGTAGTCTAGGGCAACCTCGTGGGACGCTATCACTTGCTCCAGAAATGTCTGACCAGGAAAACGATGTTAGGAAGCATTTGTGCGCAGTGCTTGCTTCTTCAGAGATTTCTCGTCCTTGGAGCCTGCTTGTAGACTCTTACATATTGTAACCCTATTACCTTTCAAGGTGTTTGCCGTGAGCGCATATCTCAATTCCATTTTTCTGGAAGGAGGCGATATTTCAGAAGGAAACAAGAGTTTTGCTGTCGTGGTGTCTTGGTTGGCTATCTTGGTTGGTTGGTTAGTGTCCTATCCTACGACATCCGCTTCGGGCCTGGATGTGATCTTTTGCGAACCTTTGTGCAATCCAAGCTCTTCAAGTTCCTGCTCGGCCGACTACGCGCTGGTCTGGATTGGAATGCCTAGTGCCTCATGGAGTCGAGCTCGCAAATGATGGCCGGGGGCCGATGCCTTTGCGAGACAGTAGCTCTAGCGTCTGCGGCTTACCAAACCTGTGTCTGCGTGACCGTGCCAAGGTCGCTACCGGCAATGCTTTGCTTCCATTCGCAGCGCAGGTTAGCAAGTTTTGCCACTTGCATAGCGTCGCATGGGTGCTTGAGAACCCATGGTCGTCACTAGTGTGGAGGTCGAATGACCTTCGCCAACCTGTTGCGATACGACTTTTGCCAGTACCGCATGCCTTAGAGACGCTCCACTGGTTTACTTGCTTTTTCGTACGAATGGCTGCAATCAGTTCTCAAGATATGCAGTCTCGAAGCTGGCAGGTGCTCTCCAACAGGGCGCAAACATTTGCTTTTGCAAGGCATAGATGCCCGTGGTCAGTTCTTTACTTCGCGTGCCTAGCCCTACCCGATACCCCTCTGCCGTGCACTTGCACAAGCCTTAGCAGAACAGACGCTGTGTCTGGATTTGGGATGCTGAACTTTGGATTTTGGCCTTGAAAATTCCTTAGCCTCTTTGAGATCCTGCAGGTTCTCATACTACATTCCTGTGTGTCTTTTCATTATCCAGCTTTGAGCATCGTGCACAAATGCGAGACGCTAGCATTGGGAAGTGGGAATCATGATTTGTGTTTGCACTTGAATGATGCGAGCATGAGAAATGCCGCCAATATGTATCTCTCAAGATGTTAAGCGGGCCTCCGCCTACCCCAGCCTCCAGCTTCGCCACTAAGTGGGGATGCTGAACTTTGGATTTTGGCCTTGAAAATTCCTTGGCCTCTCTGAGATCCTGCAGATTCTCATGCCACATTCCTGTGTGTCTTTTCATTTTCGAGCTTTAAGCATCGTGCACAAATGCGAGGCGCTGGTATTGGGAAGTGGGAGTCATATATATGATATTTGAGGATTGTTAGAAAATCTTATTTTTTATATTTAATTTATAGTGATTTATTATTATTAATTATTAATATTATTTTTATTATTAATATTATTCTTATTAGTATGATTAAATATATTTTTTTATTTTTATAATGTTATGGTGGTTGTGTATACGATACGGGGGTATTGTATATTGAGGCACGAAATATAATAATTGGATTTATGGCAAGATATTAATGTTTAATTGTGTAATTTGAATATAAGTTGGTTTAGAAATTTGAGGCAAGGTTTAAATAGATAGATTGAATTAATTTTAATATATTTATAAATGGGTATATGATTTTTTTTAAGCGGGATATATATATATATATTTATGGTTAGGATGTGTTTGTATACAGTTTGTTTTTTATACAGAAGAATATATATATAGGATTGAAATAATTTAATTTATAATGTTTATGGGTTTTTTTCCCGAACCATTGATTAGTTGATTGATTATTTGGCTTGTGATTATTTGCAATCAGCCGGGGAGATAACGTTGGGCAATACATAAATCTTGAAAAATAGGTAAAATACCTTTATTGCATTGGTTATTTGCTAGCATGAAACTCACTTCTAGCTTTGAGCGTTTATAATATGTTCCTGACCTGAACAAGATGACGGCATAAGCAATGACACGTAGGCGCAAGGAGGCGCAAGGGCGGGCACAACGGATCCTAAAAGAAAGCCGTGCAACAAGAATTTTCGACAACCCCCATATTAAATATTAGGATTTAATTTATAACTATTAATTTTAAGGCAATTTGAATTATACAAATTTATTTACTATTGTAATAAATCGGTATGATTTTGGGTTCGTATTTTTCGTGCATTATAGAGCGCTTGTTACGGTATTTTGGTTGAATTCTTAGATTGGTGGCGAATGGTGATATTTATGTGTTTTTTTTTTGTTTCTTTCGTTTTCGTGTTTTATATAGGATTGATTAGATTTTTAAATAGTACTAGTGCAAATTGTTGGCGGTTATCCAAATATATTTATAGGTTAAATTTGCGGGAATATTGGGTATTTGTTGGATTCGAAATATCTTTAAATTGTGAATTTCATTTTCATTCTTTTTTTGTTGTTTCGTCTCTTTCCTTATATATTTTGTTGTAATAGTTTTCCTTTAATTATCTTTTTATTTATTCTCTTTTCTATGGTTTTATCTTTTTCTTTCTCTTTTTTTCTCTTTTTTTTTGGTCTTTTTGTCGCTTCTTTGTCTTTTTGTTTCTCTTTTTGTCTCTTTGTTTGTCTCTGTGTTTGTTTGTTTCTTTGTTTGATTATTAGTTGGTCGTTTTTTTTGGCTATGTGTTTGTTTCTTTGTCTTTTTCTGTTGTATTTATGTACCTTTGATTTTTTATGTCTTTTCAATTTGTTATATTTTATTGTTTTTTTTTTTTTATATATTTGTGTCGTTTTGTTTGGTTTTGATATTCTTGCTTTATGTATATATTATTATTATTTTTATTTCTGTATTTGTTTATTATTTTCTTGTTATTTTTCTTTGTTAATCTTTCTGTTTTTTGTTCATTGTATTCTCTTTTGTTATTTGTTTTTGTGTTTTTTGTGTTCTTTGTTTTTTGTTATTTGTGGTTTTTGTTTTCTTATTGTTGCGTTTCTTTTTGTTATTTTTTTGTTGTTTTTAATTGTTTAATTTTGGTTTTTGTTTGTTTTTGTTTGTTTGTGTTGTGTTGGATTTTGTTATTGATGATGTTTTCTAATATTTTTTGTTGTATATTTTTTGGTAGGTTTGTTTCTTTTTTTTTTAAAGATTGTTTGTTTTGTGTATTAGAATGTTTGAAAAGAATTTGATAATTCATAATAATTGATTTATTTGAATAAGGATATAGATTTTTTGTATAATTTTCTAATATATATATATATATATGCGACGTTGATATGGTATTTGAGCGTATTTGACCGTTATAATGGTCTGATTGGAAATGGGAATTGTTTGGGATTGAATTATAATGTTTGTCTTAAGAATTATAATGGATTTTTAAGATACAAATAACTTACGAATTATATGTAGAATGTTTCTAGCTACAAATCTGGCAATAAAAACCCTTAAACATTACAACAAATTTCTAATTTCCATAATATTATATTTATTCGGGAAGGTTTTATTATTTATGGTTATAAATGTTTTTAATTTCTTAATTTACAATATTTATATATTAATTAGTTTATTTTATGTGAAAACCTATATACTTATATTCATAAAAAAACACAAAATATTGCAATTCTACGATAAATTAATATAAATAAAATCATATTAATATATTTAAACCTATTTTATTATAATAATATATTGTCCAATTTCAATATATATTTTTGTGTTTTTCATTTTCATCCATTCGTCTTTATATTATTCATTTGTAATTAATTATTTCCTTCTAATCTAATCATTTCCATCATTCTACCGATTTAATCACAAAAAACATTAAATTCCAACAACCAAACCAACTTATATAATTTAAATATATATATATATAAAACAACATGTTTTTCGAATAACGACCTATAAGAAAAACAACAATATATACTAATATATATATATAAATAAAATAATAATACATTTTGAAAGAAATATCTCAAATAAATCTAATTTCATAAATATAATCTATTTATACATATTATATATATTATTTACTTAAATATAAAATATTTTTTAAATAAATATAAATAATTCAATATAGAAATAATAATATTATATTAAATAGTATAAATTATGTAAATTATATATACAATCATAATAAATATTATAATTTAAATAATTATTATCCAACATATGTTGATATATTTGTAATTTTGAATATTCATTTCACTAATTCAAATTAAAATTCAATATATTCTAATTTATTTAATTATTATGTCAATGATTCATTACGTTTTTTTTGTCAGATTCTCCATCGTCGATTTTCGGATGAAGTTTGTCTATCCATCTCAGATGTCCTCGTCGAAGCCATTCAAGGAGGAACCGAAGTTTTCCTCACAGGATCCAATCGCATCTCCTCTGAAACAAAGATCGGTCGACTTGGTCTGCATGCAGCATGCAGGCAGCTCCCTTTCTGCTTTCAGCGCTCGACGCAAGCAACATGCAACCACTTTGTGGTTGCATTTAGCATTATCTACAACAAGGAGACACCGAGAGCGACTTGTCAAACTCAACACTGTCCTCATTACAAGCTCGTAAGCCTCACGCTCTTGCAGTGCTCCGATCTGTCGACCTGGCCCCTTTTGGTCCGGACGACATGGCGCATGTCCGTTATCATTATCCAGTACAGTTGACTCTGCGCCAACAACTCTGCCCTAGCCAACTGCATGTCAGTGCCTTCTCAACTTGCAGGGAATCAAGCCCTGATAAGGAGCTGTTGGTGGTAACTTGCATTCTCTTTCTTGGACTAACTTGTCAGCGACAGAGCAATGTCTGAGCCTCCTTGAGACCTGTTTGATCCTACATCCAGGACGGCATCCTCTTTGCAATAGGCATCCTATTGTCCATGCTGGTCACGTGGGTCATGACCAACTCAATGCCCACAGTCCTGTCAACTCTTTGAGATTCAGACATCCATAGCACTTTGGCTTGTGAACTGGCCTGATGCCACGGTCCTGATCTACATTGTCTCCAGCGATTTACGGCCGGTGCATGCTTGGTAGTAGCAAACACTCCCGGCTGAAAGGACAATTGAAACTGCCCAGTTTACTGCCAGCGCTTCAGTCAGACGTGGCGAAATCCTTGTCCCAACAGGAGCCGTCGTCCTGGAACAGTGACAGAAAAAAATGAATAGAGACAACACAACATGTCGCAGGCAATGCAAACAAAGTGCCAGGTGCAAGCAGGTGAGCGGCATAGGAAAGCAGGCATGTGAACAGGCAGCCAAGTCACCCGAGATCGGGGCATCAGGCTTGCAAGCATGAATTACGTCAGTGGCGAAGCATAAGAATGAGTCTTGCCGACGATGCTTCGACAAACATCATGACTGGAAACAACGTTTTCAGCGGATGCTTACTTTATAATCGGATGTTGCTGCTCACGTATCCGTGTCCCTGAGGGCCTGGCCTGACTGACAAGACATGTTGAGTCTCATCTCCGCTGCTGCAGCGGATAAGTGCATGTTGCACAATTATCAGTAACATGTAACATTACAAAATGCATATGCATATGAGCCTATATATGCATTATGTATATATATATATTATACAAGTATATACACAAAGGAATCATACATGTTCTCAAATGTGGATCAAGACACGGCATACATGGATGATGTCATGCTCTGCAAAGTGAAGCATGAAAGAATGATCTTGGGCGGATGGATCACGGACAGGACAGCCCACTTCAAGTCTTGCATTGTAGATATATATATATATATATATATAAATAATAATCATGACACAGTGTTGCAAACGAATTAGCGCAAGGCGCGCCTTTCACGACAAGGAATGGCGCAAGCAAAAAGTGGCTGTACCAATTCATGGAACAGTTTAGCGACGCGGCAAAACGCTTGCTTAAAAAAACACAGTGTCCCAACACGGCCCGACACACGTCCTTGTACTTGACCTGCACAAATGAGGGGCGATCCGAGTGCGGTGGCATCCAAGCAAGGGTGACGGTTTTCGCGATGTGTTAGAGGGCGCCAAGCAGGGGTCCAGCATTCCTTGCTTCATTGTAAACGAGTGCAAGTAGACATATGTGTTAGTATTGACTCGTTTTAAACCGGAGTGCGCAGTGCGGACAGCCAAGGCCATGGTTTGAGCGGTAAAAATGATTCAAGCACGCATCGCATTTAAAATGATTACACAACCACCACAGGAATCCAACATGGCTTGCCTCTGCTCCCAAACTTTGCACAAAGGCACAAGAAGGCCTGCCCACGCCAAGTAGAAATAGAAACCAGGTGCACCTGCATCCTGGGCTCCACCCTCATGCCTGTGGAGGACGGTCTGCATCGCGCGCGGAGAAGTTGGCAAAGTCTGTCTTGCTTTTCACCTGAAACTTTTGAGGCATTGCCCCACGCATCGTACTGTGTGAGGTCCCAAGGATGCAGTAGGCCGTAGTGATGCAATCTCTTTGGGTGCGGCAAGTGCCTTCTTGCGGGAAAATGACAACAATATATCAGCTTGCTGTTCTCTGGCGTTTGGGATTGGCTCTTTGGAATTCCACGCTTGCCCATGGTTTGACACCATCAACCCCCAAAACTGGACAAACAAATGACACCTTTTTACTGTTTTGACTCCACCAGCCTCAAAAAATGGAGCTCTTCATCACAGTTTGTTTACCATTTTGACACCATCAGCCCCAAAAGAGGACCTCGAAACCTATCTTATATGCAATATGTCAATATGTCGCTTGGAAAACAAGCAAGCAAGGCAGTTTCACTCCGCTGGCCCAGCAAACGCGTGCCCCAGAAACAATCACGTGACAAAAAATAAGTTGCACATGCAACTGGCCACTGCGACATGAAATGACTGGCAACGCAAGCTCGCAAATGCCGCGCACCCAATGAACAGGTCCGTGTAGCGGCGTTTGATGCAGCTGATGGCACGAATTGCGCACGTACTCTCTCATCCGCAGGGTGAATTCGTGGACGCCCCAACAATTCCAGGCCACAGTCACTGAAGCAAGGGGAATGCAAGTCCTCACCGGCCTGGGGCTGGTAAGGCACCTCCATCTTCAGACTTTCGAAGGCCTGCCACTCGAAGTCCTGGACTCCATCCCGTGATCCCGTCAGCGTGGATTTTGTTGAACGATCTGAGCCCAGTTCTCAAAATTTGGCGCCGACAAGCAGATCATTCATGTTGTGAAGGACCAGTGAGACGATTACAATTCGGCTTTCAGAAGTCATGGAGGCTCATGGATGTGAAGGGTACTGAATACTGCAAACACGACCACGCGTGGCCAAGAGCAACCAAGTGTGGGCACATGTATGGCACATGTCACAGGACTAGACTCGCACAAACCTCACTTTTCTGAGCAAAGTATGAAGAACTGGTGTTTCGAATTGTGTGGGGAGGGCAAACACTGGTATACCCTCCGACCCTCCAAGAAGAACGGGTGGGCGGAAAGCATAACATACAGTGAGCGAAGCCTGTTCTCTGCACCAGTGGGCTCTGTGCAAGGTTTCCGCGCAAATTTCTCTCTGCCCGAGTTCTCGGCTCAAACTTCTCTGCTCAAGTTTGTTTAACCCAAGTTCTGGACGCAAGGTTCCCTGCGCAAGCTCTCCGCGCAACTATCTCTCTGCAAGTTGCTGCGTGCAAGTGTTTCGCACGCGCCGTTCTCAATGCAAAGGGTCGTTCTCAAGTTCTCCACACAAGTACCACCAAAAGTTGCAAAAACAATTCAGTTTGTGCACGTCAACCACGCCGAACCCCGCAGAGGGTCGGCCGCGCGGCAACAAATTAAACTGAACAAGTCTCAGCTTTTGCACAATGACCACGCCAATTTTTGCAGAGGGTGCGCAAATAAGCAAGTAGTAGAAGAAACTACCCAGTTTTGGCACATCGACCACGCAAATCCCCGCAGACATTCGCGCGCACAAATCAACAAGCAAAAGAGTCAGTTTTTGCACACGGGCCACGCCAATCCCCGCAAAGGGACGCACGGGCATCTCAGTCAGCTTTTAAACCTCGACCTTGCCAATCCCCGGGAGACCGGCACGACACCTCAAAAAGTCAAAAACAGTCCAGCTTTTGCATATTGACCACGCCAATCCCCGCAAAGGGTACCATTTTCGCAGAGTGGGTTTGGTCCCGTCAAGCGCCAAAAAGAAACACTCTTATCTCTCGGGCAAGTTGTCTCGCGCAAGTGTGCCCCTTGCTAGTGCAAGTTTGCTCGCGCAAGTGTGCCAGTGCGAGATTGCTCGTGCAAGTTTTCTGGTACAAGTGTGCTCATGCGAGTTGGCTCGCGCACGTGTGCTCGCGTGAATTCGCTCGTGTGTGCGCTCGTGTCTTTACTATGCATGGGCTGCATCTCCTCTCGTTGATCTTGCGGCGCAATAAGGCTACCTAATTTACTTGAAGACCCCTTGGCAATGCTTTCGCAAAAACACGCACACACACACACACACACACACACACACACACACACACACACACACACACACACACACACACACACACACACACACACACACACACACACACACACACACACACACACACACACACACACACACACACACACACACACACACACACACACACACACACACACACACACACACACACACACACACACACACACACACACACACACACACACACACGCACGCACGCACGCACGCACGCACGCACGCACGCACAGCACGCACGCACGCACGCACGCACGCACGCACGCACGCACGCACACGCGCACGCACGGCACACGCACGCACGCACCCACGCACCCACACACACACACACACACACACCACACACACACACCACACACACACACACACACACACACACACACACACCACACCCACACCACACCCACACCCACACCCACACCCACACCCACACCCACACCCACACCCACACCCACACCCACACCCACACACACCCACACACACACACACCCACACACCCACACACACACACCCACACACCACACACACACACACTTACACTTCAGGAAGCACCAGTGAGCTTCCATGTTTATGGCGCCAAAGAGTTCCATCCCTGATTTAGACCCTTGGCTGGTCCTTCAAGCGCTGCTAGAGTGGCTTGGGGTCGCGCTTGGCCCATCTCAACAACGACCTCCATATTTGATTTGAGATTCCTTCGTAATTGCAGTGCGCGAACCTGCTTTTTGGGAGAATTATCTGTTCGGAGGCAGGCCACCTTGCCTGCACAGCTATTTGCACCATGCAATCCCTTGTGCAAATTGTTCCTGATGTGTCCTGCTACTCTGCTCTATGCCACTATGCCCTAAATGTTGGTAGCCCAGCTGAAGCTCTCTTTCCTCCTGCCTTGTACCACTCATGCTCCTTGATGTTTGCAACTCCTCCGCTCCTTACACGTCTGTGTCTCTACACCCCAAGCCAGCACATATCGTTGCTTTCAGCCGGCATGATTCCGCCATGAAGGAGGCAGAAGGATCCCACTAGCGAATCCCTTGTCAAAGCAGGGAATGACATAAATCACTGAGATAAATCTCAAGATCTGACTGTATGATCGCAGAATCAGTTAAAAGCACACAAAGAAAGAAAGCAAGCAAGCAAACAAGCAAGCAAGAAAGAAAGGAAAGAAAGAAAGAAACAAAGAAAGAAACAAACGAAATAAACAAACGAACAAACAAACAAACGCAAACGCACACAAGCACACAAACATGCAATTGTAGATTTGTCAAAACATGATCTTAGTCATGTTTTGGCAAACTCAGGCACAATTGCCTGTGCTGCATATTCCAATGCAGCTACTTGCGTCCCCGGTAGACTAAATTGGATCAAACGGGTTGCTTGTCGAGCTCATGTGCCTGCCATTGATTTCTTGCAAGACGTTGCATGAAGGAGGTTGGATGGGGTTTGGGGTGGGTGGCATGGCATGGCATGTGGGGCATTTTGTGAACATGGCGGGCACACAGGCGCCCGCGGCGAGTCCAAACATGCTTGCATTTGTAGAGTCTAAGCCAAGCATGCCGCCACCCATCGGTAGACACCACCTCCAAGGCTCCAAAAAGCTGTGTCAACTGCCTTGCTTGTGGGGGGGACATCACTCGTGCTTCGCGCGATTGTTGATACGCCGTAAGCACACTTCAGTTCAAACAAGCTGCATCTTCGGATTATCTTGCCCTAGCACGCATGTTATTTCACGGCTAGCCAGAAAGCATGTCGAGACAACTTCATGCTCAACGCTTGTTACTTCATTTCCCGAGTAAAGACTTCAATGGTTGTGTGAATACCAATCAAAATCAGGCAGACTGAGAAGGAGTGTTGATTCGAAACGGTTGTCGGTTTGCCAGCAGTGAGTTGCTGCCAAGTGAAAGGCCAGGCCAGCTAGCTAGCACTTCGTGTTTAGTCTGCTGCCCATCTTTGCCCACCAAGCCCATGTGTTTGGACCCATTCCCAAAGAAAACTTCCAGGCAAGCATCTTCATGGCCAGCCGCTGGGAGGGATCGGCCTTGCAAAGCTTCTTGATCAGATCCTCCGCTGCGCCTGACCAACAGCAAAGGAACAGGTGCCCCTGCAAACACCTCGGCAGACGACCATGGCAAAAAACAGATCACGAGAATACACATGCATTGTCACACTTGCTGTTGTTTTTCTTTTTTTCCCCGGGATAGGCTTGTGCATATGCTGACAGGAGGCAAAGAAGCAAATGCAGAAGCCTGACTCGCATCAGTGATATCAGTGGACACAAACATCTGGCCGCAATGTCTTGGGAGTGTCGCCCATCGCAACACTACCCCGGCCGTCCCCACAAAAGCTCAACATTTGCATGGAACATCAAGGATGTAGGTCTAGCCTACTGCAAGCATCGGAAGTACAAGCTGCGACACGGCATGAATTAAGGCTGCTGAAGCGCAGTCAATAACTGCGTAGTAGAAGAAGCCTAAGTGTGACGCATTCCTGTTGTCAACCCACTTTTGACCACATTTGCTCGTCGAACATGCCAGTGCCGAGCTCGTTTGCGTGTTTGGAATGCTTCTGCCGGTGGTAGCACCGCCCCGAAAAACAATAATAAAAACAATATGTTGATGCCAACTCAAATCAACACGAACTTGTGTCTCCACCACTGTGCAACTCACATAGCACTGGAAATGACACACTGCTTTGTTTAAACTCTGCTCGATTCTCACTGGTGCACAATGCACTTGGCGCCTCGACATTTGGGCGGAAATGCCACCTGCGCAAAGGGCCGACATCATGCGACATTGCCCTCAGCGAGTTTATGGTGGAGTGGATTTAGTATGCGGCATGGGCACAGCATTTGAAAGCGACGAGTGGTCCAAGTTGGCCACTAAGAAGTATTCAAGCTATGTTGAGCTTGTGATTTGTTTGCCAACAATATGACGCTCGATTTGTGTTTTTTCTTGTATTGATGCTTGCTCTAGTTTAATTGACCTCAGGCCAGCAGAGCTCGCTTCAATTTGTTCCTACGCATTTTAATTGCCCTTTCTCGCATTGGGAACAAAGAGGAAGCAAAGCCACAGCAACAAGGCACATGGGGGGTTGACGTCCCGAGTTGCAAATCAAAATGATGCAGGGATCGACTAACTTGGATATGAAACCATCGATCAAAGAACAAAGAAACACAATGGAGTGTGAAACCATCGTCCCTGCCTCGAGCAGAACCATGATACTGCACGTCCCTACATCGTTTTGGGGGGTGTTCCTATCTTGTTTTGAGCCTAATTCAGTATATTACCCGACACATGTTTCCGTCCGGCCTGTACTGTAGTCTTCGGTTGTTTCCTTCTTATAAAAAGGCAGTCGTCGCTCATATCAGATCTCCTCAGATATCAGAAAGGACAACAACATTGACTGCCGTGCACTAGATACAGGCTAAACTATCAACCAAGGTTGTAGCTCTAACCAAACATCTGGCACCAAAATTACAAAGGTACGAAGCCAATTGGGAAGGAAGTTCACTCACCCTTGCCCAATCCCGTGTGGCATGCGATTAACCCCGTGCCCTCCCGCAGCCCTTGGCCACGCGGTGCTGTCTCCCTCGCCTGGCCGATGCCCCGCTTGACCTGTGCCGGACTCCGGCAACCGTTATCAAAACCGGCGACGCGGCTACTGAAGCTTCGGGCTATCCGAAGAGAAGTCCAACTGTGAATTTGAAGCCCCAAAAGCCAAGAAAAGGGCCAAACACAGCAAAGGAGGCCCACACATCTGCATCGGCTTCATTGACAAAGGTTAATTTCATCCGCTCTGCTTTGTCAAGCAGGTGCGCACTGCAGCTTGTTGCAGCATTGTCAGCGGGTAAATGGATGACGCTGATACTGTAGCCCCTTGATTTGCTGTGCTGTTCACACAGCTCGTACTCTGTTGTTGTGACGTCGGCAGAAGTCGAGCTGAACTGGACTCAAACTACGCCCAGACCTTCCACTCCGGTTGCTGACTTTACCTCGCTGGAAACGAACCACTTGCATCACCCTAGATCCAGACTCATCCAGCACTGATTCTACTCAATTACTTAACTTCGAGTGATCCCCACCTTTTAACATGAAAGCAAACCACCGGCACGCAAGCGCTTTTCTCAAGGTTAGGTGCAGATTTCGTATAGATTTCGCGTAAGGCGCAGCACTTTCGCGGCAGGCGCAAGGATAGGTACAGATAGAGAGATAGATAGGTAGACAGACACACAGAATAGATAGATAGATATGTTTTTAATGGATAGGTCGACAGATAGATAGATAGATAGGTAGATAGATACATAGAAAGATACATAGAAGAATCGATAGGTAGAGAGAGACACTGATAGATAGATAGATGGATAGGTAGATAACAACAAAGATAAATAGATATGTAGGTGTCTATTTAAACCTAGAGACCCTCACCTGAGAGGTGGGGGAACAAGAATGCGCGCAGTGACTGCCGAGGATTTATGGATCTCCGCGCTAGCCTAGCCGTGGCTCGCGCACGAATGTTGCATCCGCCATTGAGCCCACGCGTCAACAGACGGGTGAGGAAGTCACCTTCTAGTGACATGACGTGCTTGCGTCTAAGCACAAAAACTGATCCTCCATTGGGTCCAGCTCCCAAACATACAGCTTCTTGATTAGCTCTTCCAAAGAACACTGGTCAGAGAACAGCGGGCTAATGCCGCGCTGAGAATACAGCGGTTCATCAACAGGAATAATGCTGGTGTCGACATTCTCCTCAGCAACGATGTTGTCAGGCCCCGTAGGTGACGTGTCCGCCTGGTACTGAAATCGATCTTTTCCGACAAGATCCGAATGACGGGCGATGCCGGAACATGTGGCACGCTTGCAAGAAATGGAAACAACGGTGTCTCTCATCCACTCAGTATGATGCATGCGCCGCATTCGTTCAGCCTTCGAGACTGTCGTGGCCCAGTCCTCAACGGGTTTCCACGCACCTTTCTTCAGGATGAACTCATCCCAAGAGTGCTTGCCAGGAACCCATGGGTTGTCAGCCGTCCTAAAACATGGTGTTGATGTCTCAAACTGCTCGCCATCATTGCGCTGAAAATCATCATTGGCCACTTCGGCCTTAAAGCCCCTTCTCGTCGGCCTGGAAGACCGGGAACCCTTGGTGCTCCAAACCAGAAACTCTATATTCGTAGCGGTACTTGTCCTTCTTGGTGCTGATGAAGAAGCTTAAGTCTGCCATTTAACTTGCACCGCAGGAAGCAAACAGCAAGCAAAGAAGCTTAAACAGCATGGGTTGAGCCGAAGTGCCCTCAGAACAAACGCAAATACAGATAGAGAAATGGTAGATAGATACATAGATAGATAGATAGATAGATAGATAGATAGATAGATAGATAGATAGATAGAGTGAGAATAAGTAATTAAGCCCTTCGAAGCTTTCGAAAAGTCTGGCCCTTCAAACAGTCCAGCGCAGCAACCTCCGCAGCCAGCCCCGCAAAAAGTCCAGCGCAGCACACTCCGCAGCCAGCCCCGCGCAAAGTCCAGCACAGCACACTCCGCAGCCAGCCCCGGTGTAGGAAGTAAAGGAGGAACGGGAGCACATGAGCCACAGAAGGAGAAACGGATGAAAAGGAGGAAGGAGATGAGCCGGAGGAGGAGGAGGAGGACCTAAGCTAAAACAACATCGGCACAACCTTTTTGCCCCAGAAACTTTAAATGAAACATCTATGAACTCCCTGGCCAATCCTGGAACTTTGCTAGCAGCTTTAGGTGAATGAGAATCATTCACCAACTCAAATTACTTGTTCTTCAAAGGCAACCTGTGCGGTCGGTGAGGTCTCTATTGGGTGAGGTCGCATAATGGGGTCGCCCAGGCTCGGATGGACATGTAGAGGCTGTGCGTTTAAGATCCGCTTTGGCGCAAAGCTCAAGCTTATATAATGAGGCGGATGTCCGTTATAGGGGACCGTAACATAGAGTGAGCCATGCGTGGTTAGGTTGGTTGAGCTCAGAATAGCACCACCAAGCCTTACATAGGTTGGCTGCCACGGCGGTCTCCGATGAAACATTCTGTTTCACCCTCAACCTTGCATCTGGAACCTCCGACTTGGGAGATCATGTCATGCAGATCTAATCCACGCGTAGATGATGTGAGTATACCATGCCTCACAACCAAATCTTTCAGAAGGGTTTGTTGGCGACAATGTTGTCGCATGGATACAACGGCTTGTCACGTGGTTGGCAGAAAGGCAGAAACAACGAAAACTCGAGACTGCTTCATCACCTATGTTGGCCCGTGCTGTTTGAAGCAACGGCATGATTTTGCGATGAACTGCAAATTGCTTGACTCTGCACACGCCGCTCAGCTTCTTCTTATCCAAGGCCCAGGCAAGCCTTCACAACAAGCCTGTTTCGCACCGCCCTGCCGCCCCCGGCCTGGCCTTCTTGTAGGTTTCCATGGGCTGATCCGCCTCAAAGGGTGGGAACCCACACATCAGCTCGTAGGTCAGGATTCCCAAGGTCCACCAGTCCACAGACAAGGTGTGCCCAGACGAAGCCTGAGGCTGTGCGTACAATTTGGGTAACGGTGCCCTCTGCACAGGGCAAAAAAAGCTTTGAACACGGGCTGAAAAGGTGAACAATAGTCACGGAGATTCCCAATCTCGCTGTGCATCAGAGTGACGATGAGCTCTGGAGCAAAGTAATCTGGAGTGCCACCTTACACGCTATACACTGCGCGCAAAAAAAGATATCCTCTGGTTTCAATGAATGAATGAGGTCAACCAAAAATGATCATTCACAAAGTTTAGATACCCCACCCCGGAAAATGCGAAACAACAGTTCGATATGTGGTATGCTCAGCATCACTCTGCAGAAAAGCCGCATGTTGTGAATGTTTTGCCCAGTGTCACCTCAGAGGCGAAAACGGCGTGCCCCAAGAGCTGAAGATCCCTGCGAATGCTCATTGCGCACTAAGGGAAGAAACGACATCTGTGCGAGCAGAAAAACTGCCCCGAGCGTGCTCACACTTGTGCTCCCTCAAGTGTTCGACCAGAGGCGGGCAGTTGACTCGAATGAAAGGCGCATGCAACTATACTTCTCCCCGGAGCCTAGAATGTGGCGAAAACACTGCGTTTTTTTCACTGCGGTGAGTGAAATGCCCCAAGGGTAAATATCAACACGTGACCATGTAGGAATGAGCCACAAGAGAGTGCTAAAGTAGCTGGCCACATCACGTTGCATTGAGCCTGTGTGGTTGTGCGCGATTCAGGTTGGATAGCAAGGCATGCTGCACATTAAGCATCAGCAAAGGGGGATGTTAGACACGGTGTTATGTGGTGAAATTTAGCCGTCGAAAGCTGACAAAGCTGTTACTTCCAAGAATTCGTGCGTGGTGGGTTTTGAAGACCGGTTCTGGCTCAAGAAGTGATTTGCTTGGTGTCCAAGTCTTTGACCACTTTGGGACACACTTCGACCCCATTACTGCACGCCTGGCTTTTCCTTCTGGAACGCAAAGCGCTCCATCAAGCTCTGTTTGTGTTCTTGCGTGCGCAGTTGAGTGACAACGAGCCGATGTGTCAGCGACCGCTAACAGTCCTCCCACCCCCCCCCCCCCCAAGGGGCAAAACCACAATGGGTAAATATCAACACGCCTCCTCCTGCATGGTAGGCAGGCCAGGCTTGAAAGCAGCCGCTAAGCCAGCAGGGGGATTGATCATTCAAGTTGGTGGCCGTATCTTGCTATTGGTGAATACTGGCACAGCCTTTCATCCTCGTATATCTTCTTGGTTCGCAGGCAAGCCTAAGCATGGATATTATCACGAAGGCCTCAAGCATCAAAGAGTGCAACATAAATCCACTATGTGTGGTTCGGTGCAATGCAAATAAACCATCACTTTAATGGCAAGCAACCACAAACAATTCTGCTCAAGAGGATGCAACACATCTGACAAAAAACTTAGCTTTCCTTCCAGCATGTGTGCACGATATGCCCCAAACAAAAACTGAAAACGTGCCCTCCCGGCCTTTGCCAGGCCCATGTCAGTAAGCTTCACGTGGCCGTGCTCGTTGAGCAGCAAGTTCTCCGGCTTCAGGTCCCGGAACACAATCTTCTTGCCTGGCATCGCTTCGGAGGAAGCCTTGGGGGAGAAGCCCTTTGCAACTTTGAATGGGATTCCCTTGCATAATTTAGACTATTGAGCTTTGTCAATTTGTAAGTTGTTCATTCTCTTGTTCATATGCTTCATATGACATTATGACATTATGACATTATGAGACCAGTCAACTTTCCGGCAACCCTTCGGCCAAGCTTCCGCAGCGTGAAGCGTTGCTTCCGTGTGCATGTGTTTGTTAAAACTGCTTCCGCTCGCATGCTTTCGTCACTTTTGCTTCCGCTGCCGCTACCGTTGGACTAGCTGTTGTCAGGCCTGACGTCTGCTCCCTTTGCTTCCAAAGCTCACCAACAGCTGCGTTTGGGCAGGCTGGTTTGGCAATAGGGTTGGAGCTGATTCAAGTTGCTACCAAGACATAACGTGGTGTCGCAAGAAATGAGGCAAGCAACGCACGTTCAAAAGATGCGCAACCCGAGGCTGCGAGCTGTATTGATGTTTGTCTTTGCTCGGCCTGGAATGCTTACCTGGTTGGTTTCGGGGGGTCGGCTTTCGCAAACCTTTCACGAACGCTCCACAAAATTCCGCCTCCAAAACATGTTTTGCCTTGGTCCCTGTCGCAAGCAAACTCCCAATTCTGCATTTCCTTCTACAGTAACCCATGGGGGCTATAGTGTAGTTTGCGGATTCAAGCAAGCTTTGTTTTTATACCCGATCATTTTACCACAAAAGCCGGTGGACATTCTGATTGCCACATGTGCGTTGGACTGCAGTCGCAGAAGGGTTTGCCTCGCGGACGCTTTATACAAGGTGTGCTTTCTAAACAACATAAGTTGCATAACATGAAGGATTTGAGCTGCATGTTTAGAGCATTGTCCATGTCACACGAAATCCGCAAAATATTGAAGATTGAGCGGTGACGCAGTTTGAGGCCATGTTTCCAGTCAGTTTGGCTGCTGCTAAACTTCAAGATACAAAACAGTCGCAGTGGTGTTACACCCAAGGCAGAGCAGGCATGTCGGCGCTTTTTTTTTTTTTTTTTTTTTTTTTTTATCTTTTCGATTGTTGTCTGTTTGGTGAATTTGAAAGATCAAAGCGCGCTCTTGAAATGTGTCAAATCTTGCCAAGCTGCTGTGAAGATGGTCAAAGGCAACGACCACGCCAGCAGCATAGAATTTTGCATGCCCTACCTTGCCGAAGAAGCCCTTCTTGTTGTAAGTGGCCTGAGCCCAACTTCCAAGTACTTCTTGACTTCAAGTGATGAGAGTGCGGCCTTAGTCTTCCTCACATCTAGAAGGTGGCCAACGTTGAAATTCCTAGCAGCTACAGCAAAGGTCGAAGCTACACAGCATGAAACACTGGCCATCACAGGCCTTTCCCCAAACATCCCAGGCTCAAGCCCGCAAAAGAAGAACTCCAGTAGCCAATCCCAACGGATATAGTTGCTTTTAGTGAGACAGCATCTGCTCGAGACTTCGCGACATCCTCTTCATCATCATGCTATGTTTCCACATTTATCAAGAGAAATCGGGCTTTACTTGTCAGAACAGTGGAATATATGCTCTGACTGTTTGGAAGACGTGGCAGGACTTGGGTCAGGGCCACTGTGGTCGGTCTACTAAGATAAGACTCCAACTGACGCATCTGTTGTTTGCTGCGGCGATAGAGAGTGCGCGACAATATTCGGCACCACCAGGCTGGATTCAACCCGCTGCACACAGAGACTCGTCAAGCCGCGCCTGCTCTTTGCCTAGCGCATACGCTTCCAGCCAAGACACATAAAGCTCACCGCCGAGAGCGAGCTCCAGAAGAAAGCATAGATCCTCTGGACCTGCAGCGATGCTCTTGCAAAAGCCATGGGATAATCAACAAGTGGGTCGCCACTACGATATTCTTCCAGTCGCATTTCAACTGGTGCAAACAGGTTTGATGCCAATCCCTTCCTGTGTCGTGCCGCTTGCACCCTTGAGGGACATGAATATGCTTTGCCTCCAGTCAAATCATGCACCAGGCACCTGGAGAAAAGGTAGCTGGTGCAAACAAGCGGCCATTGAAGGTCTCAAACACCTTGACGATGAAAGGTGAGTCGCACATCAGCTGCACCTTCTTCTCACCTGTCAGGTCCACGAACATAGTCCTACCCAACTTGAAGCAGACTTGAGGCAGCTGGAGCGTGCCATAGCACAGCAACCACCCCATGCGCAAAGCGCACGGGCAATCCAGATTGTGAAATAAGACACACACACACACACACTCTGCAAATGGGGCACCGTTCGCAGGCTGTTTCCACACCATCATGTAGGCGATTATATGTCATGTCAGATGTCATGTCAGATGTCGTGTGATGTCATGAATACGGAAGCTTAGCAATATGTGAAAAGCGGTTGCTGGACCTTGTGGCCAATTTCTCGGCATGCAGTGTCTGCGAGTTAGACAATGTCCAGCAACTCATGGATCAGTGTAGATCAATGCTTCCCCCGGAGCTCGGCTGGGGTCGAGGCTCGGCCAGGCCCCCAAACAGGTTGTAACTCCAAGCGAGCGGCTCATCACACTGTTCTGCATGCCGGATTTGACGATGAAGCCCTTGCTCAAGGCCTAGAGCAAAAGCAATCAGAAGATCGGTATTTATTTGGTTCCAACGATCGCTCTTGCTCACCTCACTTCGGTTTCTATAAGGGGATGCCCACCTTTAGCCAACCAAGCACATTGACCTCAAACAACCAGTCAGGTATCAGTGGGTTGCTTTTGGCTGTTGCTTGAAACTGTTTGGATTTGCTAGCTAAATGAGGCAAACCCACTCAACTTGGAAAAAACTTGCCCGAAAAAGAAAAAAAGAAAAGAAAAAACATCGAAAGGGAAAGGCCCCCAGCAACTTGAGGTCGTCTTGTTTCTTTTCTCCAGCCGAAGGCGAAACCGACTGCCAACACCAGTCCTTCAGCGCGTAAGTCTCCTTGGTGCCTTGGTGCTCCACCAACTCCACAGCGCCGAAGCCGCCGCAGCCCAGCAAGCCCAACACCTTAAGGTCCTGAGTGAAGTGTTGGGACTTTTTGCCGGGGTGTTCGATGGGATATAAGCCCTAAGCAGATCCCAGATGTTCCCAGTGATTCTGGATGCCCCTTATCAAATGTGACAAAATGGCGGGCCTGGGCCGTTGAACATGACAAACACCCCCTAAGTTTGACACATTCCCACGAGGGAAGCGGCCTATGCTTCTTGTTTTTTCTGCGTTCAATAAGCAAAGCACGCCGCTTTGAAAAACAAATTTACACATTGCAGCCGTGGTAGAGCAGCTTCAATACAGAAGCTGTTCTCACTTGTTCAACCATCTAAGACGCGAACAGCTTTCCCTCTTTCAGGACCATGACTATGGCTTCGCTGTCGACCGCACAAGCAGGGGCCGAGGACTCAAAGGGACTCTCTCTCTCTCTCTCTCGCTCTATCTCGCTGTCTCTGAGGGAAGTGGAGAGAAGCCGTCCTTGCGCTTGATCTTCCCAAAGCGGCTGCTGTCTATGGTTGTGCTTTGACGCTCCTGGGCGAGGCGTGTCTCATAGCTTGAACGCTTTCGTCCAGGCTGAAGCGCGGTTGATATCCCCGTCTGTCGCTGGTATGAGTGGGGATCACATGCACAAAGGATCAATTCTGACAAATGTTTGTCTGCCCTGGACTGAGCTGCTTCTTCACCCAACGTTAGGTTGTGATTTGTTTGCGTGCCACCCCTTGTGTCCACATCTCTGGATGAGTACAGCATTAACTACACATTGGTTTCGGGTATCCGGAGTTTGGCGAAGCCCGTCAGTTCACTGACAATGGGTCATGTCATGGTTCACAGACAGTCTCTAATCTCTAAAATCTGAAATATTCCTACAAGTTGGTCGTCAATCTTGTTTGCGGCTTTGCTTTCCTTAATTACATGTCATGCAGTCAAGTTGAAGGTTGTTATCGTAACACCTAGAGAGTCTGCTGAGCCCACAATTGAGCAGTGCAGCCTATTGTGCAGCCACACTGAATTGTGATTTGCACCTGGGCACTTTTTGGGCCACAGTCCAATATTGTCAACTTCAGACTCTAGGAGACTAGCCAGCTGCGACTTCCCACTGGACTCTTCAAGATCAGTTCTGGGCAGTAGCGCGTGCCATCCGTGGCAGGGGCTTCGCAGAATCATTCATGTTGTGCATAGAACTCCATGTTAGCTTCCAACATGGGAATTGCAACACCCGTCCCATATGCTTAAATGGTCCGATTGCAAACCCGCCAACAGTCAAACATCCCATGGACCTCCTGCAGCTTGCTCTTGCCGCTCTTCCCACGTTTCTTGAGCTCCTTGCGTCGGTGAGGTTCAGCGGGACGTGAATGACTGCATAATGCTTGGCTGAAAATAACAATATATTGGAAAGGGCAAGACAACGCAGGCATTGACGGTAAAATCAAACATAAGCTTCCAAGCCTGAATAAGTATCACTGGCTGCTTCAGCTTACTTCTATTAAACATAAGTGCTGTGTGAGAAGGACGTGAGCTTGATTCAATCGTTCAGATAGGGATTGCGTCATATGCCTGCCTGAACACAGGGCTGTGACATCCTTGCAGTAACTTCTAACAAAATCCAAGTAAGATACCTCGTAAAGAGCGTCTGACTTACCCGTCAAAATGAATGTCATGCCGGTCGTCAAATTTGACCCAGTGAAACCAGTTTGCTGTTGACACAGTCAAACTGCAACACTTGCCTTACCGAGATGGCAGTGACCAAGTCATCCGCGAGTGTGCTTTGCCGTTATGCCGCCGCATTTTGATGCAAGTCATTCACATGTTGCCCACTCTGCTGAAGTAACAGGGGCGCCGAAGAGTCCAGGTGCTGCTGGACATCTAAGTACTGCAGCTTTTGCTGCCACTCTATAATCAAATCACCCTGACAATCCAACATCAAGCAGACGAAGAAGAAAAAAAACAGACCTCTCCTCATGACTCTGCCTCCTGCCTGGCCCTCTCCCCTCCTCCCTCTCTCTCCTACCCGTTCCGGCCTCTAGCGGTCCAAGAAGCATGTCAAATGATTGCTTGTCCACCATCAAGGCTCTTGCCTCAATACAAAAGTCTCCAAACATGCACCAGAGTTACTACAACTTGAAACACACAAACAAGCGGTGCTTTGTTTTTCTCATATGCTGTCCTTACTACGATTGTGCTGATGCACCCCGAAATCATAGCTAGCAAAACAAACAGAAACACCACATTGATAAAGACTTGTTCTAGGCTGGTGCCCCATGCACTTGTTGTGGATTCATTGCACAGGTGAAGTCCTCGCACCAAGGCGACCCCACACATCTTCAGTCTCCCAATGTCCCCGGCCGCGGGGCAAACTACGCCAAAGGTGAGCACAAAAAGTCCTGCAGAAGCTCTCTTCCGGCCCGCGGGCTCCCCATCTTGCCAAGCTGACCGACATGATGCAAGGCTCTCTGCACCACATTGCAACCCTTCGGGAATACTCGACAAACAGCGGGTTTTGAAAGGTGAAGCCTTTACTTGCAAGGAAACGCTCCTTGTGCTTGGAATTGCGCGTCCAGCCGCTTACAGTGCATCATTTTGATACAAACTACCACCACAATTGACCCCTGGAGATTGAAGATGGAAGTACATCTTTTAGCTTAGCATGAAACTGTTTCTACTGCCTTGGCTAGGCATCTCAGGCATAGCATTGGACCCCCGACAGGCTGCCAAAGTGCACATCCGATCACATTAACCAAAGCAATAAGACAACAAAGTGAGTTCCAGAAAGCAATGTGCAACATGTGAGGCTCCCGTAACTCACCTGCTTCGAGGTGCCGTCTGCGAGGCCACCCGCACAGTGCAAGCGCGGGGCTTGTTGTTCAGCAGCGCCTGTTCGCCGAAGGGCTTGGCCTTGCAGGGTGCGTCGCCCGCTGGCTTGGCTGGGTGGTTTGCTTGGTGGCTTGGGCGTCTAGGCCGCTGAGCTGCGCAAACGATGCCTGTCAGGTGGCCTACGTAAGACTTTGTATCGCACAAATGTTGGGTACGGTCAAAGACCTTGGAGGTCTTGAGTCACACCTGCTCATACCTCAGCGCAACCAAAATTCCTGTGGCCTCTCAGCTGAGACATTCAAGCACATCAAAAGCAGTACTACATGTCAATTGGACAAGCAGCGCTAGCGGCTGTGCCCTCGTGATCCTGTGCAATGCATTAGAGTTGCACTCAACACGCGCATGCCCTGACCTCCCTCCGCACCTTGTCTTGGAAGCCCTGGTATCGTGTGCCAGGCTTGTTCTCCCCCTCCTGGCAAATAGTAGTGACTAGTACAGCAATCCTTTCTCTCTCGCGCCATCGGAAGAGTGCTTCCAAGCTGAGCAAGCTGCACAAAGAGACAAAGCGCTGCATGTACCCTGTACGAACTGCCCGCGGCATCCCGCGGCCCCACCGCAGCAAACGACATGGGGACTGTTGAACGTGACAGCCCAACAAGCCAATTGTGAACCCTACCGTCACACACTCACAGCTGGTAGAGCAATCCAAGCCACCACTCAAAACAGTCAAGGCTCCTTCCCAACTATCACTCAGATTCGCGGCGTCAATGCAAATGCAGTGAAAGCAAATCTAGTACTGACAGTCAATGTCTTCTGCATCCAGGTAAAGCAGCGTGATAAATATATAGATGATCCCAACACTTATCAGTTCATCAGACCATAGACCATCTGTCCCCGCGTCCTTAATGAAATCCACCGAGCCGTCAACGAGCAAGTAAAATGCGTCACCTGCTCCATTGCATGAAATCCCATGGATGCCAGCCGTCGCACAGCTGGCACAATTGATTCGATACTGTACTGAGTTCAACAAAGCAACATGTGCGGTAAGTAAAGGATGGCTCCAGGGTGAGCACATGAAGCATCTTTTGAGAGCAAACAGTACGGGGCTGTCAATGTGCGCTGTGGCTGCGTATCAAAACTACGACCCCTCTCTTCCCCAAATGGTTGGTTCCTTTTGTTCCCGTTGGAAACCCTCTTAACAAGCTCTGACGCGCTGCTATTTGCTTGCCCTCTCGCTTGGAAGCTGCCTGGCTCGCCCTGCTTCATAATCACCTCGCCCTTGTTAAAGGACACCTCCTCACATGCAAAAGCCCAGCTTTCTTGGGCGGCGGCAGTTGAGTGTTTTGTCATCTCATTCCCATGCGCCCAAATGGGAGATGTTATACAGTCTTGTACAAGGAGTGAGGCCTTCCTGCCGCTGGCAAATGACCCATAGTCTGGCGAGCTTCTCTTTCAATACCCGGTTTGTGACAAAAATGAATCAAGTAGCTGGGGGGGATAGATAGTCTTGCGCTGCGAATCCACCGGTAGCATCAGCAGCTGGGCAGCACCAACCCAAGGTCCATGTTGGCAAAATTAACCAGCTGAAATTTTCAGGAAATCCAAGGCGTGGGCGTATCCTGAGTCGAGCCTTCCTTCTCAATGCTCCAGTAAATCCGTCTAGTTTGGATGAACTGGGGATGCGTTTTCAGGTCTTCAGGCCCTTCTCTACCTTCGTGGAGGCGCTTCGATGCCCTACAAAAGCAAAGGAAACTACCCAGCACTTTACCCATCGATGCTTGATAGACCGGAGATGTACTGACCCAGCGACCCCCAAGTCTGGCCACGCTTCTGTCAAGCACTTGGCCAAAGCCATCTTCTCGTCCCTCTTCAGCGGTGATAGCATATCCACCTTTCAAGTGCGAGCTGAGCTCTATTGGGATGAACAAAGTGGAACTTGCCGTCTGAGGATGGTTCTCGTGGTTTGTACTAGCCACAATCGTAGGACTCCGACCCTTTGCAAAAGCCTCGCCATCATCTCGCAAAGGGCCGTGTGTTAGGGGAAGTCTGAGGGGGGCAAGGGGCTCAGCCACGCCATGTTTGACACGACAAGTTCGCGAGCGTCTCACTCTTCTAACCTCTAAGGTCTGACCTCTGACTTCCGGAGCCTCAAACTGCCCTAACCTGGAACCCTGGAACTCCCGTACCGTTTAGTTTATCTCATCTCTAACTTGTCTAACCTCCGTCTCTAGCTTCTAACGTTTCTAACCTCCAACTTCTCTAAAATCTAACTTGTTTGGTCTATCTTCTCTAGCCTCTAACTTCTCTATCATCTAACTTTTCTATCCTGTAGCTTCTCCAACCTCTGAACTCTAACATGTCCAACCTCTAGCTTCTCTAGAAGGGACCGTCCTGCGTACACCCTACACAACCTTGAACGTATTCGCAATCGCGACTTCTGGAGCAAGAACCGGCCAACATACAGAAGTGACAGAGCCTTGGTTTGACGTTAGCATCCACCGCCAATCCTTTGCTTGGAAAAGTCCTCATCGGCCACAAGGCCTAAAATGCGTATGGCTATCCCTGCCGGTGCGGCACGAGCTTTACTCCACTCGCTGGCGCTTGTGGCTAGGTAAAACTGTCCGTCCGTCATCGTCGGCCTTGCCCGTTTCAGCATTGGCTTGAAGCAAGTAACGCGCAACCTCGTGATAGCCATGCTCGGCAGCAACGTCCATGGGCGTCATTCCATAGAGGTCAACGCCCTGGTCAGCGCCAGCTTGCAGAAAGCAACGCACAACTTCCAGCCAACCATTCTCGCAGGCTGAGTGCATGGGATTCCTGCCAAGAAGGCAGGTCTTGTTCTTGTCAGCTCCGGCTTGCAGCAAGCAATGCACAACTTCCCAATGGCCATACTCGGCAGCAAAATGCAGGGGAGTTGTTCCATGATTGTCAGCCTTGTCCTTGTCAGCGCCAGCTTGCAGAAAGCAACGCACAACTTCCAGCCAACCATTCTCGCAGGCTGAGTGCATGCGATTCCTGCCAAGAAGGCAGGTCTTGTTCTTGTCAGCTCCGGCTTGCAGCAAGCACTGCACAACTTCCTGATGGCCAGGTTCGGCAGCAAAATGCAGGGGTGTCTTCCCATGAATGTCGCCCTTGTCCTTGTCAGCGCCAGCTTGCAGCAAGCAACACACAACCGCCAAATGACCACCTTCGGCAGCACCATGCAGGGCTGTCCATCCCTCCTCATTAGCCTTGTCCACATCAGCCCTGGCTGCTAGCAAGCAGCGTACAACGTCCAGACGCGGCCATTTTTAGGGGCGTGTCGAACCCTGGGTCCTCACCTGATTCTGAGTCTGCTGGGTGCTGGGTGTCCTTCTTTTGCTTCAGCGTCTGGATCCACGGGCATCTCCAGAAGACGCACCACTCGTACAAGGTCCCCGACCGCTGCTGCCTCTACCAGAGCTACCCCATCTGGGCGCCCATCTGCGTCTGACAAGTAAGGCCGAATCACAACCACCAGCTCCTCATCGATCCATTGGCTGCCCAGTGAAAGTACCTTGTCACCACAGATTAGCGCCAGCTGCCTGAAGTTCTTCACCAGCTTTGTGGCCAAATGAGGCCTGAGCACCGCAACGAAGTCGTCTTGTGCTCACTCCACCATGCAGCGAACTCATACTCGCTCATCACCTCCTCACCTGGATTGTCTAGCACAAACCAAAACCAAAGGTGAGCCATCACAAAACAGCCCGCAACAACCGCGCATCTCAAAAGGTTGCTTTGTTTGGGAAAGTGAGTCACCAGAGATCTTGCGAACGCGCCCCATGGCGGATGCGCACAATGGCTGAGACTGCAGCCAAGCGCTGCATGTCCAAAGCACAAGGCCACTCCCTCCGTCCCCAATCGTATCGAAATATGAGCCACGGTCGGTGTGTTAAGTTTCGGCGAGCAAGTTCCAATCAGTCGTGTCATCTTCTTGAGTGTAGCTACCGGCGTCCAGTTGCGCCCGACACTAGCATGATTGCATGACACAATTGGACCCGGCCCTTGCGGGCGATGGATCATGTGCGTAGGACTGGCTATCGTTGTCTGAACTCCCTCTAAAGCGCTTATCGACCATCCCTATCACACCCAAATGCCCGTTGGTGGTAGTAGTGGTAGTAGCAGTAGTAGTAGTAGTAGAAGAAGAAGACGAAGCAGAAGTAGTAGGATGAGGCGCTATACTAGCACTACCAACACTACAGCTTCTGCTGCTGTATAGTACTTCCTCCACTACTACCACTGCCGCTGCAACTAGTACTACCGGGTTCTGCGAAAAGAAGAAAACAACACCCATCTGCTCTCGCCCAACTATCTGCCCCGCGCCCCCCCTCCCCCAAACTTCAATGTTGTCAAGGAACGCTGTGATGTCTAAAGCCAGAATGGGCGTTTTTTCCGCCAGCTTCGTTAGCAAGGGCCACATCCAACTTTGAAGTTGGGGGGCAAGGGGTCAGCACCTGTTGTCAAAATGGATTTGGGGAGATGGGCTTGTTCTCTTTTCTTGCCTCAATCTTCTTTGGGTTTTCTTGCGCCATGCTGACTTCACACCCTTACCACAACAGAATCCGCAGAAAGTTCAAGCCCAGAAGTGGCAACATGAACCCAACATCAAGGATCGCGTAGTTCTCGGGCAGCACGAAGATTTGCTGTCCAACCCGAACGGATACCCAGCCATGCAACCACATGCCAGCAAATGGTTGCCATTAACTATGCTTGGCACTCCAAAACGCTCACCCAGCATGCATCTGTTTGTCTGCACTGTCTCCAGCTTCCTTGTGTTGACAGATTGAATGTCGCCCTTCGATGCTCTCTCAAAACAAGTTCTGCATCGTTGGCAACTGTTGCTTCTGAATGTATCTGGTAAGCAACAAGTTTCGGCTTTGGCGTCTGGTGCGACCTGGCCTTTTCCAAGTACTTCAGGTACTCCGTCTCCTTCTCATCTGAAGACTTGGCCATGATCTTCTTGAAGTTTCCTGGTCAGAAGAAAGAATAAGCAGGGTGAGAAAGCCTAGTTCAATGATCTGCCTATCGTCATCCATTCGAAGGACAAATCATGGATCTGTGCGCCCAGCCTCCAACATCAGGACCGACTGCAACACTCTCAGCGGCGTGTAAGTACAAACAGAGCAGGCGGACACTGCAAAGTATTTGGACTGGATACATCTAAACCCAAAGTGATTGTGACAACTCCGTGCAAGGCAGGACAACGCTGCTCACGTTTAGCTCTGCACATTGTAAGAATGTATACATCAGCACTAGAGAAGACTCTCTCGACGAAAGGATTGAATATGACTGAATAAGGACAAGACAAAACTGGCAATGAATCGGAAGCTGGGTTGTCGAGACCCTCGGCCTCATATGTTGCCAACTGTTCGCGCGCAATCGAACTGGGCGGTCTGCTACGAGAAAATATGAGCAATATGCAGCCAGAAAGAGAGAACGCCTGAATTGATGTGGTTTCCCCCAAACTCGACACCCTTGCCTCGATCGATGATCCACACGGAAGCATCATCGCTAGCCTTGCCAGCAACTACCAATGGCTTGACGGCTGAACAAAAAGGCCCCACGCACAAACTGCTCAGTTCTCAGGCACAAACTGCTCAGTTCTGAGGTACATTCAGGCAATGTTGAAGTTGTTCAGTTGCAAACAAAAGGTCATAGAGTCATAAGTGTGTAAGCGAATTTCACCTTAGCTGCCTAAGCAGTCTGTTGAAACATTGCTGACTGCTCCGAGAATTATAGCACGATAGGGTAGAGACAAGCAAATTGATGGTAAGGAGCACGACAAAGTGCAGTTCTGCCATGTGTCTGAGGTTTGCACATGCGAAACAACCAAGTCAACACCATGCATCTGTCAAAGCTGAAAGACGGTCCCAAACAGATTGGTACTGAATAAGCCTGGGCACACGATGTCCCAGCACAAACTTCAAGACGTTTTAACTGCTGAAACTCGCCTCGCGGCGATCATCAACAACCTATTGGCCTGTCTGCTCAACCATTGGCGTAGAACCTAAGCGAAACCTTAAACAACTAGTTCCTTTGAAGATGTTTTTGTCAAGCTCCGTGTTGGAGGGATGTATTGATATGGACCTTGTCTGGTTGTTCGTAAAGCTCGTGCCTGTCCATTCGATGGTTAAGACAGGTGATGTTGCAAAACTAGTGACTAGTGGATTCCAGTGCCCCTTTACACAGCGGGCTCGCCGCTTGAAGGGAACTGGTTTGCACCCGGTCATGTGGCTCATGCAGCTCTTCCCTGCCCCGAATCGCTCAACTGAACTGTCGATGGCCTGCACTGTTGCCGCGCGTGGCGCGAAGTACAGCAGCGCCAGCTCGCCAAAGCTCTCGCCAGGGCCAATCCTTGCCAGTCAGATAGTCAGATGAAGCGCCATGGAAACCTGACACCTGAAAGCAAACCCAAGCCAGGCCAGCAATCACAAAAGCTTCATGTATGTTTGTTTACAAGCACCCAAGTGTTAATTGTGTCTCGCGTCTACAACGAGTTCTTGGGCATCTTTGATATGTTCGGGCAGGAGTTGCCAAGGATTCGACGCGCAAATGGACATTGCCCACAGATGGAATGTGTAAGCAGCTACCGGTGGATGACAATACTAGGCTTGCCTGAAATTCCGCTCTAATCAGGCGACGCCTAAGTGGCCCCGGAACTCCCTCATACAAATGGTGCGTCGTTTTTTGGTGGGATCCGCTACTTGTTTCTCTTGTTTCGGTCCCCTGTCAGTTTCTTGCGATAATTGTGTCAGGCATGCTTATCTCGTTAGTTACTTTCTCAATGAAGGACAATGGCTAACAGGATTTTGCCTCATCATGGCATCCTTGGCATACTAAAGAACGAAAAATCCTGCTTAGCACCAAGACTATCAAATCTGATCGTCAGTTGGTTGCCTGCCTTCACCTGCTTCAAGTATTTATTGGCCTTAATGTTTCATACAGCCTCTGTTCTCAGCTTTCGCTGCTTCTAGCGCTTGGCTGCTCTTCGCAATTCCAACAGCACAGATTCTATACCGACACTGTATGGCGACGAGGTTTGTGCATGATGCATGTACTATGCACAGTAGAATAAAGCCACCGGTTCACCCCAAAACAACACAAACAATGATGCCAATTGAGATATCCTAGAGTCCTACCCACCAAGGAATTTATGTCTAGCCCTGGCCATTAAAAAACAATATATGTGTTGAGAACAAAGCGGCAACGCACGCAACATCCACGGCAACATGCGGAGTCCCCAAAGGCAGTAGTAGTAGGTGGTAGGTAGTAGGTAGTAGCAAGTAGCTAGCAGGTAGTAGTAGTGGTGGTGGTGGTGGTAGTAGTAGTAGTAGAAGTAGTAGTAGTAGTAGTAGGAAGTAGTAGTAGGCGGTAGGTAGTAGGTAGTAGGTAGTAGGTACTAGGTACTTGGTAGTAGGTAGTAGGTAGTAGGCAGTAGGCAGTAGCTAGCAGGTAGGGCAGTAGGTAGTAGGTAGTAGGTAGTAGGTAGTAGGTAGTAGGTAGTAGTTAGTAGGTAGTAGGTAGTAGGTAGTAAGAAGTAGTAGTAGTAGTAGTAGTAGTAGTAGTAGTAGTAGTAGTAGTAGTGGTGGTAGTGGTGGTAACAGTGGTGGCAGCAGCAGTGGTTGTAGTAGTAGTAGGAGGATCTAGCAGTTAGTAGGTTGTAGGTAGTAGGCAGCAGGTAGCAGGTAGTACGTAGTAGGTAGCAGGTAGTATGTAGTAGGTAGTAAGTAAAAGGTTGTAGGTAGTAGGTAGCAGGGCAGTAGTAGTAGGAAGTAGTAGTAGGTAGCAGGTAGCAGGTAGCAGGTAGTAGGTAGTAGACTTAGTAGGTAGCAGGTAGTAGGTGGTAGGCAGTAGGTAGTAGGTAGTCGGTAGTCGGCAGTCGGTAGTAGGAAATTGGTAGTAGCAGTAGTAGTAGTAGTAGTAGTAGTAGTAGTAGCGATAGTGGGTGGAGAACAGTAGTAGTAGGTAGTAGGTAGGTGGTACGTAGTAGGCAGCAGGTAGTAGGTAGCAGTTAGCAGGTAGTACGAAGAGGTAGTTAGGTAGTTAGTAGGTAGTCAGTAGGTAGTAGGTAGCAGGTAGTAGGCAGTAGGTAGTAGATAATAGGAAGTGGTAGAAGGCAAGGGTAGTAGGCAGTGGTAGAAGGCATAGGTAGTAGGTAGCAGGTGGTAGGTAGCAGGTAGAAGGTAGTAGGTAGTAGTTAGGTAAGTAGGTAGGTAGGTAGCTAGGTAGGTAGGTAGGCAGGTACTAGTAGTTCGGAGTAGTAGTAGTCGTAGTAGTAGTAGTAGTAGTAGTAGGTAGTACGTAGTAGGTAGTAGGTAGTAGGTAGGTAGTAGGTAGTAGGTGGTGGGTAGTGGGTAGTAGGCAGTAGGTAGAAGGTAGTAGGTAGTAGGTAGTAGGTAGTCGGCAGTAGGTAGTAGGTGGAGGTAGTGGGTAGTAGGTAGTAGGTAGTAGGTAGTAGGTAGTAGGTAGTAGGTAGTAGGTAGTAGGTAGTAGGTAGTCGGTAGTAGGTAGTAGGTAGTAGGTAGTAGGAAGTTAGTAGTAGTAGTAGTAGTAGTAGTAGTAGTAGTAGTAGTAGTAGTAGTAGTAGTAGTAGTAGTAGTAGTAGTAGTAGTAGTAATAGTAGTTGCCAAGAAAAAACGTGCAAACATGACTTGTCGCAAAAAAACAATGCACAACCAAGCATAATTTAAGAATACAAACACTGACAGCAACACCAATGGCGAGCGCGGCGAGTGCGAAGAAACACATCAGCCCAAACTCGCCAAAAACCAAGCGACAAACTCGCTGGCGTGGCTGCGTTCGGCTTCCCCTGAAGCAAAACACCGGCTGGAGATGAGCCGATCCATCGGAATGGCGTCCACAGCCCAAGAACAATCAAAGGATATTCTTTTATCGTGGAAACTCTGGTTCAATTGTCTTGCTGATGGGAAGATGTTCGCTGGCCTTACGCAAATGGGAGTCTGCTCAATCCATGGCGCTGCTCATCCTTTGTGGACATTATTGTTGCTTCCACGACAAGCAAGTTCACAAACAACTCCCGACACGCCTGCTAGGAGAATATCCCGGCTAACATTCCCAGGTTTCCGTCGTGTTTCAGCTGTACTATGCTGTGACAAGTTCTGATAAGTGTGTCATTTCCAAAAATCGAAGCTGTTGGCAAGCATTGCTTGACTTGGACCACATGTCAACTTCCACAGGATGGCTTCATCGGAAAGATTGTCCAGCCTACAACAAGGCTGTCGCGAATGCCAAAGATTCTGAGGCCAGCCAGGGCTATGACTGGTCTTAACGCAGTCAAGTTCACTGCTCCCAATTTGGTGACGTGTGGACCTGACTTCTACAGCCAAGCCGTGTTGGACGCGTGGGGGCTTGCAACAGTAACATGTTGCTCTGCGCTCCGCCCCTCTGCCTCCATGCTCTGAGCTGCAAGCTTCACAACAAAGGAGCCTGGCAACGAGCATGCGCCAAGCAATTCGAAGAAATACCCTTCAAATCAAGAGGCTGCTGCTTGTCAGTTAAGCCAGCCGGTAGCGCGTACGGTGAAACAGCAACAGCGAGATGTACGTGGCTACACAGGCTTGATACCAGCTTCATCCAAGGGGCACCTCTAATGAAGTATCAAACGTGGCCTCAACACGGCGGCACCGGCACCAGTTTCATTCAAGCAGGCGCTGATGCTAGTAAATATGAGAATGAGCCGACCTGACCAAACAACTTGTATGAGAAAGTTCGTGTGTGTGTGTGTGTATGTGTGTGTGTGTGTGTGTGTGTGTGTGTGTGTGTGTGTGTGCGTCTATGTGTGGGGGCGTGTCTGTCTCAGTCTGGTGTGCCGGTGTTGCGTGCGAGCTTACATGTGTCGTGTATGTGTGCGTTTGTGTTTGTGTTCTTGTGTGTTTGTTTGGTTGTTTGTGTGTGTGTGAGTAAATCCTGTTTACATGCCCAACAGTTGTTTCGCAGAAAAAAGAGGTCTCGTCGAGTTCAACTTCAGCGGTAAAACAAAAGGAGCTTGGCTACACTATGACACTGCAAAAATACCAGCAACACATGATGCAACGGCTCAGTGAACATGCCATGCTTATATACTGTCATACTATTATCATTCATATATACTCCTAAAAGCCTAGCGTTTGTTGGGAGAGTAAGTTACGAGACCAGTTGAACAATTGAATGGAACCCCAATACGGAATGGTTGCTCCTTTCCCTTCCTTGAGGCGACCTCGACCACCCCTTATCCGCTCTGCGCTGGAACTCGAGTTGTTCTGTCATCAACCGCAGGTCTAGTCTCGTCTTCACACAGATATGTGATTCCACGACGGCAAGCTACACAGCCAAACCTCAAACAACTAAGCAAACATTGCAGCAGTGCTCTACCAGAGCTTTCAGAACTGAGTACTGTTCTCCCTGAATCACGGCCCACGAGCCTGCAGAAGGAGATTACGAGCCATCATTTCTGAACTTGGATCCGCATATTTCAACACACCAGAGCAACAAACGACGTTGGGAGCGCAGCGCCAACCCAACGCAGCCTGATTGTACAATGTAGAAATAGTCAGCATTGTCATCGCCCTCCGTGATAACCTTGGTGCCCTTTGGCACCTCCTGAAGGCGGCTGGCATGGATCGGTCATGTGCCGCGCCCCGCGACATGCAAGGCGACGCAAGTGGCAAGATGTTGCAAACACCCCGCAAAGTCCACGGCTATATATGTTCCATCCTGTCTACTGTCAAGCACAGGGAAATGCACGAATTGCCTTGTTGTGTTCAACCTAGTCGAACTGTTGCAAATCTGGTTCAAGGCATCATGAAAAATGTGCACCCACTAAGCAGCAATCAAAAACCAACAGCTTAGCCTGTGCGCCGGATGCTTTGAAGTGCACCCATGGAACACGTGCATCCTAGAGAAAAACACCTTCCAGGGTATGCCAAAAAACCCTGCAGCAGGACGCTAGCAAATTCCTCAGCAGAGCCGGCAAGCAACAGTTGGCGCCCGGAGTCACATCTTGAAATACAGGAATCAAATGTAGGCATCAACGAATGCGGCCCTCCTACCATCCCCTGCTCCTCACGCCATGCAATGTCGCAGATGGCTTTGATCCGGGACATGTCCAAGTCGACTACACCTCAAGGCAACACTGCCAACACTGAAGGTCAAAGCACGAACATGTTGCAGAAATGGAAGAACGGGCAGAACGAAAGATATAACTTGTTCGATTGATCTTCCTTAAGTGTCTGAGTCCTACACACGCACACGCACACACAAACACACACACACAGACACACAGAGACACACAGAGACACACAGAGACACACAGAGACACACACACAGAGACACACACACAGAAACACACACACACAGACACACACACAGACACACACAGACACACACACAGACACACACACACACAGACACACACACAGACACACACACAGACACACACACACACACAGACACACACAGACACACATATCCACAGACACACACACAGACACACACACACACAGCCACACACACACACACAGACACACACACAGACACACACACACACAGACACACACACAGACACACACACACACACACAGACACACACACACAGACACACACAGACACACACACACACAGACACACACAGACACAGACACACACACACAGACACAAACAGACACACACACACAGACACAGACACACACACAGACACACACACACAGACACACACACACACACAGACACACACACACACACACACACACACACACACACACACACACACACACACACACACAGAGACACACACACACACACACACACACACAGAGACACACACACAGAGACACACACACAGAGACACACACACAGAGACACACACACAGAGACACACACACAGAGACACACACACAGAGACACACACACAGAGACACACACACAGAGACACACACACACACACACAGAGACACACACACAGAGACACACACACAGAGACACACACACAGAGACACACACACAGAGACACACACACACACACACAGAGACACACACACAGAGACACACACACAGAGACACACACACAGAGACACACACACACAGAGACACACACACACAGAGACACACACACAGACACACACAGACACACACAGACACACAGACACACACACACAGAGACACACACACAGAGACACACACACAGACAGAGACACACACACAGAGACACACACACAAAAAAACACACACACAGACACACAGACACACACACACACACACACACACACACACACACACACACACACACACACACACACACACACACACACACACACACACACACACACAGACACACACACACACACACACACACAGACACACACACACAGACACACACACACACAGACACACACACACACACACAGACACAGACACACACACACACACACACCCACACCCACACGCACACGCACACGCACACGCACACACACTCACACTCACAATCACACACCCCGCACACACACACACACATAAACACACACACACACACATACACAGAGACACACACACACACATACACACACACACACACATAGACACACACACAGAGACACACACACACAGAGACACACACACACACAGACACACACACACACACAGACACAGACACACACAGACACAGACACACAGACACACAGACACACAGACACACAGACACACAGACACACAGACACAGACACACAAACACAGACACAGAGACACAGAGACACAGAGACACAGAGACACAGAGACACAGAGACACAGAGACACAGAGACACAGAGACACAGAGACACAGAGACACACAGACACACAGACACACAGACACCCAGACACACAGACATACAGACACACAGACACAGGAACACACAGACACACAGACATACAGACACACAGACGCACAGACACAGAGACACAGAGACACAGAGACACAGACACGCAGACACACACAGGAAGGAAGCCGCTTTTCAGCCCACCGGCAGCAAACCAAGGCGAGGTGAAGCAGCCCACCTGCTTTAGCCAAGAGTCTCTGCAAATTCTGGTTCTTCTTCAGCGCATTTGAAATGAGCTGTCCTTGTAGCGGACAAGCACAAGGACAACAAACACAGAAACTCCCCCCAAAACGGCTGAACATAATATGGCAGCAGTCTGAAATTCGTTGTTCTCGGAAACGCCATCTTTGCGGAAAACATGACTTTCACAACCTCCATGGCGGAGCTTTCGCGAGGCTATTTTCCAAAGTACACCTTCGCAGCCCTGGCTTGAAAATCGCAAGTTTTCCGTAAGGCCAACAATCGTCAAGCTTCTTTCTCAGAGAGTTAAATACCCAGCCTTGATATATTGATACTGGATTCTGGATATATCATCCACTACTTTCCCCACAAATCAGCCAACGACAATATGCAAATCACAAAAAAGGTGTGTCGGATCAGCTCCCACTCTCAGCTAACACTAAAGCAGTCAATGGACATGCGTAGCGTGGATGAGCACCTCTCTGTTCCATCATCACCCTTTGTCGGCTCAGGAAATGGGAAATAAAGGGCACGTGGTTCAAATGGGATGCAATGCCCTATTGTTTTTAACCCCCAGCAACCAATCTTTCGCATGCGAGAAAGCTCAAAGTGCTCAAATGTTATTTTGCTTCCATGTCTGATGTCAATGAGTCCACTTCTCGGTGTCCCCGTGTGTCCCCTCACTTTGCCACCGCAGCTTCGTTCGCTCTCCGTCTTGGGGGTCGGCGCCTGTGCATGCGGGAAGCCAAGCAACAAGAATAAACTAGCCGCTCTGAACCCTCCCAGCATAAAGGGGATTGTCAGCGTTACCCTTGCAACCATGAAGCATGTTTTTCCCCAACAGCTGAAAGCTATGGGTCTCTGCCCAGAAAGGCTCTGGGGTGGTTTGGGGCAGCTTTCAGGGAGGGTTCAGCAAGGTTTCGAGCCTGTTGGACATATCACTGGGCCTGTTTGTTGGTTGACTGCTCATAAAACCCAACAGTGCCCAAGCACTCCCTCCGGTATGGGAAAGTCTCTCAAGGTGACTGGTGCCTGCACGACGCACACATGCAGTTGGCGAATGAAATCCTGCACTGGTTTGCCCGAACCGGTTTGCACCCGACAAAGATATCCTTGTTGATCAAACGCTTTGTCCTGGCCAAACTTCTTGTGAGTTCAACACCCTTGATTGGAAGCGTACTGAACCTATTCTGCAAATTATTCATATTCCAGAAAATACATTCAAACAGCCAAACGTAACCTTGAGCCAAAGCCAGTGTTGATGAGTAAAACTTAAGACGCGAGTGACAGAAGCACGCAAACACAAGTCAGTTGCGATGGGGCTTGCTGCATTTCAAGGGGGGAACAAAGCAGGCTCTCGGAGCGAGTGAGAGTTTTTGATTGGCTACCAACTACTTTCAGTCGAGCCTAACTATAAGCCTATCCAATCGCAACCCCCACCAAAACCTCCTTTACCCCACCTTGAACCGACCAAAACCGAAATTAGATGGGCCAAGCGCTATCCTAAGGAACCCCTTGACGCGCCGTAGAAATGACAACCCTAGACCAACCCCCAAAACAATCTAACTGCAAGCATGACCCTTCCTAAGCCAATGCTGACCACACCAAAGCAAAGCCATCAATCCAATCCAGGCATCAATAAGGAGACAAGCTGAACAACTCATCTAACTACACGGTGGGTTGAGGGAATGCACTGGATATAATTCTTGTTTGAGTCTGATTTCAAGCTTCTGTCGCCAATCCATACAGGCAAACATGCAACATGTTGGGGCCACATGAATGTCGATCGTCCAATGCTTACCGCAAGCAATGTTTATTGAGCGATGAAGGAAGTTGTACTACCTCAATCCAAATGAACAACATGCCATGTCATGAGGTTTCAAAAGATCAATTTCATGCAACTAACAAACAGCAAAGTCAGTTTCTGGCAATTTTCTTCGCAGAGCCCTGCCTTCACCACCACCTGGTGGTGCTGGCCCCCGACTGCCTTCCGCTGCGGAAAGTCTAGCTTTTCCCTGACAGGCGGACAGGCGCGAGGCTAATAGGGCGTGGAGGCAATGACCACGCGGGCGGTACTGGCACCGGCAGGGAATGCAACAGAAAATCCGCAGGTCTTAACATCCACCAAAAGAAGCGACATCCGCTGTGCAGAGCGCAGTTCGCGGGCGACTGCCTGAGCCCCATCTCCACGAACTTTGTCCTGGAGATCCGAAGAGCCTGGCGGCTCGAGCTCCAGTTGATGCCGTTGAACAGGTGGCGTGTAGATTGCAAATCCTTGTGGGTTTGCTTCGACTGCAGTGTCATGAAACTGGTCATGTAAACCCAACCGTACATAAATCAATATGCAATGTTGTTCAGTGTCCATCAAAACCAAGACTCCATAGTAGGCCTTTTTCCCCTGCTTTGATGCAGTGTAATTAATATGCAGCTGACATGAAACTCAACATGATGTGCTGAAGCCACATATTAGTAGCTCCAATGTCAAACAACATCGCTGCTGCGCCCGTTGCACTTGCTCCATCATAAGGCAAGCCGAGAGCAAACGATCAACAACACAGCCAAGCAGTCTCTACCACCAATCACCGAACATACAACAACAAGTGCACTCAAGTAAGCAAAAAGGCGGGCAGGCAAGCAAGTACTGAAACAGCAACTGTCGCTGGAAGAGAACGATAGAGTCACCGTCTGCGCCTTCAGCCGTCCGACCGCCTTGATGCTCGCAGTGCGCGGCCTCAGAGCCAGGCCATGCTGTGCAGCAGCTTGTCACAATTAGAACATTTTGCCCAAGTGCCAGTTGACGGTGAAGCATTGGAGTAGCGTCTCTTGGACAACTGATGCATCGAGGCTCACAACCCTCACAGAGGCACAGCTCTCCGAGCGTTTTGCCCATCTTGAACTCCCATTCTGCCTGCATAGTGTGCAAAGCTTTCGATCAATCATTCTGCTTGTGGCGTTTCATATTACGACAGGCTGGGGCCTCTCCGCCTGGCCCCGCCTGGCCCCGCCTGGCCCCGCCTGGCCCCCCTGTCAAGGTACCTGGCAATGCCGAGTGGCTCATCCCGTAGAAGAGCGTTCTCCCCGAAGTACTGGCCTGCTTTCAGCACAGCCTCAGGCCCAGCAGAATTGAGGGTTTCGCTATTTCTCTGCGAGGATTCATCCATGGCGGAGCTGCTGGCATCGGCGAGGATATACACGCTGCATGTGTGTGTGTGTGTGATTCTTTAAGAGGGCACTTGCCAATTGACGGGGGCAACCGACATCAGGGGAGGCATATGCCTGCTGGTGAGGCATTTGTAGCTGGTGCATAGACTTGTCGAGGGTGGGGGGTGCTTTGTTTGGGTGGTCTAATTAGTCGCCGCTGTTGGGAGTCTGGGAGACAAGTGTCCGAACATACACACTCACCCACCCACCCACCCACCCACCCACCCACCAACCCACCCACCCACCCACCCACCCACTCACGCACCCACGCACGCTAGCCCGCAACCCCCCTCCACACCCACACCCACACCCACACCCACACCCAAGCACGCACGCATGCACGCATGCACGCACACACACGCACACAAACAAATCGAATGTTGGTTCTGCTTTAATGTTGCCCCGCCCCCCTCAACTGTGCCAACTGTCCAGAAGGGCCTCTTCTATAGTGGCATTCGGGGGCATAGGTTCGCCTGCAATACTTCATTTAGTATTGCCAATTCGCAGTTTAGTATTGCCAAGCCTTACTCTCAGATTCCCAGTACGTATTGCCAATTTTGAATTGTGTAGTGTCAAGACTTGCTCTCAAAGTCCTAGTACCTAATTTTGTAGTGCCACTTCCAAATTCGGTATTGCCAAGAATTACTCACAGACTGTCAGTACTAAATTTAGTATTGCCAAGCCTTACTTTCAGATTTCCAGTAATTAATTTAGTATTCCCAATTCTGAACTTAGCATTGCCAAGCTTTGCCCCCTAACAAGCTGGACATTCAAGCGAACCACGCACCAGTCAGATTATGAAAACAGCATCGCCTCTTCTGGGCAACCCCCCTTTGCGCGACTGTTTGGCCTTACTTTTGTATAAAGAAGCTATCTTTATGTTGATGGTTTGGGGGCAACTTGCAACAACATTTTCTAGATCTGAGGCCTTTCAGCCTTTGAGTTGAAAACAACTTGGGAATCTAACATGCCATGCTTCGGGAACCACTTCAAAAACAACATCCTATTGTCCGCCCGTGCTGACCCCCCCCCCCCCCGATTTGTTTGCCCGTTTGTTTTGCCCATTGAAGCGGCCCTCGAAACAGTCGCAGGATTCATATTTAAAAAAACACTTTGTGTAAAAGCAACCCCAATTACAAACACGGGTCTGACAATGAATGCCTTCCAAACAACAGAATCGTCCTGTAGCATCACAACAACAGAAAAAAATCGTTCGGCTACCATCCAAGATGCTACGCAATGCATAAATTAAATCCGGGTCTTCCTGCTGTTTTTGGCTCTTGTAGCAAACACTCCGCCGGCTGTCGGCAAAGCCGATCGCAAGCGACACTTGCGCTTTGCAGCTCTTCTCAGCCCTCGGCCATTTTTTTCTCGGAGATGAGAACCTCCGCTTCGCCCTCCTTGATGACAAAGAACTCATGACCGTCGTCGCCTTGCTTCATGATCACCTGAGCAACACGCCAGGAAAAAATACAACCCTTCCGCAATCGTTGCAAAACACAGCAGCACAAATAACATGCTGGTGCTCGGAAAAACAGCCAAATTTGACTTGCACTTTGCAAGGAGGAAGCAACACGTCGTGCCTCATTGTCGGGCAATGTTGGTTGTTGCCGTGGCAAGCGCGGCCAGAATTGACACAGCAAAACATAATTTATATTACAAGATCATGCAACATGTTTGACCAATCACGCTCCCTTACCTGCAAAAACTGGAGCACGGGGACCCAAAGCCAGATGCTGCCTCCCAAAAGCATGAATCGAAATGCTGCTAGGCATTCGTAGCTGAAGAGTGCGAAGACGCTGCAGAAAGAGACCCTATTGGCTATCCAAAGCACCCCTTACTTTGTCACCTCAGAACCTTCAACTACAACCTTTCAGGTCTTGAAGATCCAAAAGTAAGAACCCCACAGCCATAATCATATACGCCTTGAAACAACAGAACTCTTCATGAGCTGCATTCACCATCTTGTTTCGAGCCCCTATCGTTCTTCAATATGTTTTGTACTTTCGCAGATCTGGCTCAAAAGTCTCAGCTTTTCAGCAGTATTCGAAGTGCATGTTCGCAGCCATGTCAAGAGCAGTTTCCTTTCTTACTTTTCAGCACAGGATATCAAATCCCCTCCATGGATTGTGCATTTCCACGGCGATGTGGCGGTTGCTCACATGTACCCCGCATAGTCAGCAATGAGCCACACGCCGCATGCTTAAACTGAGCCTGACGCTGATTATTGATTCCCTTAGACATTCCGCTGACAATAATGTGCATGTCTGAAGCAACGTGGGAGTAGAACCAGGACGGCATGCCCTGAATGCAGCAATTCAGGAGTGTAACTGGCAAAGCAGCCCACAAAGCAACAGGAACTTGCATGCCCCATGCCAAGTGGGTGACAAAATGACACACATGCACACTTCAGTGTAACTATGCTTGACTTTGACCGAGAGAAACATTCAATTGACTTAGATACTCTGCCAAATGGCAATGTAATGCATGTAAATGTGCCAAGCAAACTCAGAATTTAGTGAGGATGACATTCCTACAGGAGGAACGTGGATGAGGCAAATGGGCATGGAGTGGAGAGAACTCGCGCCCAGCAAGGGTGTCAAATAGCACAAACACACGCACACACATACACGTATGCATCCAAACACACACCCCTGCAACTCAACACACCTTACAGGCCAACATCAAGCGTGTCTTGATGTTCGGACAACGCAAACGAGCTGTTGCCTGCGCACAACTTGGCAGACTTACTCAGCGACAACCCACTGGAAGCCCACACCTGATGGCTCTCCTGACTCCTGACTACTGACTACTGAAGCAGAGCGAAACGGCACCCAACTCGATTCCAGTCCGATGCGCCTCGCCATCTTGGAAGTAAACATCTTCGCACGCCTTGCGGAATGAGGGAATGTCGAGGGTGCGTGAGGTTCGTCGCTTTTGTCTGGGGCATGGAAAAAAACCAGGCCCGCCCAAGCTCCTGTCATTGGGGCTCAGCGGATGAATGACAGAATCGTTCAACCTGCGCTTGCTCTGAAACGTTTCACAATCCCACGGCCATTACGTTTGAAAGGCTGCACCGTGTGTTGGACTTTGTCTCATCATGTTAAAACTATTCACGATGTTCAGTACCTTCAAGCCAACAACTGCAATGCAATGCAAGCATGTTTCACAAGCGTGTCATTGTGTGCGCCTAACGATGAAGACTAGTTGCACCTTTGGAAGTGCGCAGCGGGCGCGGCAAAACAATGAATTATGTGTTTTTTTTCAGTGCCAGGCACCAGCACTTTGTCGCTGATCGGTGTTGGCGCAGCGTTCAGTGCTTCGACAAAAACTCAAGCCCAATGTCTGGGAAGGCGGAAAGCCCGGTCACAAAGGAGTCGCAAACGAGCAACTTGAGGCGAAAGCCCAGCAAACCTGTGCTCAATTACGCAGGACAACCAAACCCTTTTGCATTTGCATCCTTTCAATGGTCCCTTGCAGCCACGCCCGCAGCCTGCGAATAAGTTTGACAAAAAGTCTGAAGCATCTCCTACCTGGACCACTATTGCAACACCGAGCCTTCGAACGTCCATGGAACGAGGCGACTCCATGTTCAAGGTAGTGAAGCACCCACCAGAACTCATGTTGTTGGGGATGCTCTCGGGTTTGCACATGTTTGCACCCGGTCCCAATGCGACTCTGGCAGCGGCGCCGATGCGAGCAGCTGGTGCTGGTCTTGTGGCAGCCGCTGGAAGAGCTTGACCTATCCGAGTAAACCAAGCTGGACACAAAACGATGTACAAAAAGACAGCACAACCGCGCGGGACTCTTGGATATGAGCCAGAGTCAATATTTGCTGTGTGGGGTGTATTGATTCTACTTTTAGTGAGTCCCCTATCGTTCTCCACGTTTCGCGCGTGCGTGCAGTGCCCGATGAACCCTCTGCAGGGATCGCGCGCCTCGAAGCGCTCTCGCTGTGGCGCCGTGCGAATGCGTAAAGTGCCCAACCAACCCTCTGCGAGGATTGCGCGTGTCAAAGCGCCCTCGCTGTGACGCCGTGCGAATTTGAAAAGTGCCCGCCGAACCCTCTGCAGGAATCCTGCGTGCCCAAGCGCTCTCGCTGTGGCGCCGTGCGAATTCGTAACGTGCCCAACAAACTTTCTACGCAAACACAGCATTGGCATCGTAACCACATGCGTAGTCTTTCGAACACGAAGCGCTCTTCCCCATTGCGGGCCCTTTCTGTGTGTGCTGAAGGATGTCTGCTGAAGGATGTGTGCTTGCAGATGCACTAGGCCTCACATTGGCGACTCCGGGACATTGCAGGGGTATCGACGGGGTATCGACAGGGGTATCGTTCTGGGCGTGTGTCAAGTTGCGGAAAACTTTCACTTTTTGCTATAAGCTATTAGAGCCAAGCAAGCACACAATAGCCTTCTCTGCCTTGGTGTGAGCCGCTCACGCCGCTCAACGCTCCACATTGCTTGCAAGCAGAATGACACTTGAGACGTGAATGAATGCATCATGTTCACAAACTATGTTCAGAGGGGTATCGTTTTTAGTGAGTCCCCTATCGTTCTCCAAGGAAAATGCACAAACACAGTCTTGAATGAAACGCCGTTGATAAAGTGGTCTTTGATAATTCTGAAGTTGACTCATATGCAGAATCGCACATTGTCAAACGTTGGCCACTGGAAGACGTACAGTTGGATCTTGATGCTCTATAGGCCTTAAGTACATATGTGTTTGCTCCGATCTGGGTTCTTGAGTATCTTTGCGATCTGGAAGTTCAGGCGATACAAGTGAACACATAAGGCAGGAGGACAGAAGCCGGAAACTGAAAAACACTAATCAATAGAAAACCTGCAAGGAGCATAGATACCGCAGGAAAGAGACGCATCATAGAGGGAGCGGGAGTTGGTCAACACAAAATAGAGCAATACCGTAGAGGGAGCCTGGCATTGTATGAGCACACGGGGGGTCCTGTGGCCAGCTGCACAGGCAAAGTATATACAAGGATCACATGTTGCAATGTGTTGGACACCTGAGGAAGTATCATACAATGTGTGCCGAACAAGAACCCACGCAGGCATACTCAGCATCAGTTGAACACAGGCCTTTCAACTTGAGCTGGCATAATCAAGTCAATTCGAACTGAAGTGAGACATCCCCTAAGCCTCCAACACCCCTTGCAAAAGACCCAAGCAAGGCCCATCATAGTGCTGAAACTCGACAAAGGGAAGCTGAGAGAATGTCGACTTAGGATTGAGTAAGGTACTCCCCCCCTATGACGAGATTCTGGTTTCCGAATCGATTTATGTACCCCTACGTAACGATCACCCAAATCCCGAGACCTGAACACTAATAAACGTCACACGAGATTGAGATATCACATGCATAATAACTGAACTCGTTGTCTCCAGCACGGTTGACCAAATAGAAACGTTTGCCTAAGAGGTCAAAGTTCCTCGTTTGTCAGCTTTAAATAATACTTCCAGCACACGCACACAACCCCAAACGCAGAATTTATGTACGCAACACTTGATTTTGTTGTGAAAAACATCGCCCCACAACCACTCCCACAAATCCAAGCGCCTGGACAAAGCTTGTGGCACAACACCTGGCCTAGGGGCTCTCTGGGTTTGTACACTTAGAAACTTCTTTCAGATAGTAGCCAGGAGGCTTCCAAAACAGCAACACCTTCGGAACTTCATAGATGTTGAGGCCCATCGCCCCCGACACCTTCCCCCCCAAGCAAATCTACTCAGTCTTGCTTATTGAGGAGCAACCTCCAAACCCTTATCTTCAGCAAAAAGGCGTGTAGAAAAAAATAGAAAGCTTCACCCAGGTTCTTTTGGTGCTTTCTGACTCAAATTTGCAGTAGTTGTTGATCGACATTGGCGTCTTGTTGAGAAGACTCCGAGGTTGCTGCTGGGACTTTATCAATAAGCTTTTATCTTGTATTGAACAATCTATTTATGGCGAAGGACAAATTCTGCGCTGCTTGGTAAAGAACAAAGCACGGGCGATTCAACTGCATGGGGTGGGGCCAACTAGAACTCCAGCGGACCAACATCTTGCCAATCTTAGAGGAAACTCAGATCTCATCGACAGGGCATCAAAAAAGTATCAGTCCATCAGTGCAAAGGTTTCAAAACGCTCTGCAAATGTCCATCTGGATCCATTTAGCCCAACCACCACTCCGGCCTGAGACAAGAACTCCAGTCGCTGGCTGGTGGGGTCAAACAAGTTTGGAAGCGGACCTCACCAGGAAAGCAATTGCAGGTTGCATGACCAACTGTCAACAACAAACATGTCAACTGTTAAACAATGCGATTGACCAAACTAGAGATAGACATCAAACACTTACTACGTGCATCCTGCATTCGTTGTCCATCAGGACATGCTGCTCATTCTTGCAAGAACAGTTTCCGTTTGGCACAACGCCGGCCACACATGCATCACTGAGAAGATGTGGTCACCATCCATCCTTTCGAGTGGTTAGCTGACGAAGATTCATCAGTTACAAGTCTTATAGCTTCAACCGTACCAACTTTGAATGTCACAGAGCTTCGCTTGCGCAAATAGGTAGGAAAGCGTTACAAATGAGGTGAATTAGCAGGAACTAATTGTCGTGACTGTCAAGGTTACCCTCGAAAAAGCGGGCGGTCTCGGAAAGGTAGCAAATCGCATTGGCACGGCAAATCAGTCGCGGCACTTCGCTGACCTCAACCTGGCGAGCTCTTTGCAACATACTGCGAGTTGCTGAATTCAACATGGTGAGCCCACGGCCTACGTTCTGCATTTTGCTGCGCATTGGTTTCGCATTGTGCTGTGGCTGCCACTGCTTCTGCTGTCGTTAAAGCCTTCCTTGTTAACATTGGTCATACAGCTGACAATAAACATGCTTGTACCTATAACAATGACACATACTGACACCGCAGCTGCCAAAGCCGAAGCTGCCTGTTCTTACATGTTTACCCTGTTGTGTCTCAGATCGAACATAGTCCTCATCTAGTTGTTTCAATTGGCATGGCTGCTTCCCTCTGACGGGTGCGCGAATCCCTCTAAGGCCAGGGCATTCCACTTTCAGGCCATGGCATTCCACAGGGCAGTGAGCGTCTTTTGGTCGGCACACTGTGCAAGCCGTTGTGCCCATGGCACGACGGATGCAAGGGCGGAAGTCTTAGAGCTTTTGCTGTTGATCAAAGGGATGGGAGGCTGTTGAGTCACGACAAATCTGGGAAGCAGAATCTGCTGGTAAAAGACTTCCACCTTGTGAATCACAAGGCCTTGCAACAAAAATCACAAACATGTCTGAATTCTTGGGTCCGCCGTGCCCTCTAGTAAGCACAGGTAAGGTTCAACCTCGGCAAGGGCTGTGAGCGGAAAGCTGTCAATACAGGGCTTGACATACTTGATGACACACGGCATATTGACGGAATAAGATGAAGTACTGCGCGAGGGCAAGAAAATGCCTCAGCAGCCCTCAATGACCGGGCCCAGTGCGTCTCATGTTGAAGGCAGGCAATCGCCACAGGCAGAAAAGTGCCTATGACTCCATGCTGGCAAGCACTTGAGCGACCAGCGATGCGGGCGCATGTTGCTCATGAGATGGCGCAATTACCTCACAGCCACAATCTTAAACGCCGCATAGATCATGTTGCCCCTAGGCTGTCAGGTTCCAGCATCCTAATATGGGTGTGGCTTAAAATTGAAGAGCTAGGGTTACGCAGGTTTTAGTCTTTGGTTCCATTTACCAAGGTGCCATTTTGGTACATGTTCTTGAGCCACAGCCATATGCACACCCAGTCAAGTCCTCCTGGTCCCGGATGTACTCATTGGAGAAGCCAACCTAAGTACTAGCGAGGCAGTCCACGAGCTGCGGGAGAAGCCCGCAAAGCGTTCAGACCGGCGTCTTGCACTCCTGTTCCGGATGGAATATACAATTGCCTGATGGTGTGTCTAATCTTGAAAAGGGACCGGATAAGGCTTAGGCACTTTAAAACAAGAAAACACGAATTCATTCATTCAATTCAGTATCTGGCTGTGACTGCCAGGCTCACAAGTCAGCTGAATATCAATTTTGAAACATTCAGGCAAACGTACCTGCGACTTGCAGTAAACGAGACCCTGCAGGCTTTACCTTTGGTCGTGCTTCTTTGGGAAAACAAATTGCCCTTGTTGAAAAGGCAGACACCCTTTTTGAGGGCGTCCCTTGATTTTCCCTATTGGGCTCTTCTGTCTGGACGGACAGCCACTGTCTCCATGCTCCAAACATTTCCTTGGGTCTCTTTTCTCACCGCGACGGAAAACGACGACCAAAGGTTTGGCCAAGGGGCTAAGCCGCCAAGAAGGGCACCGACGGGGTAGCAGTATCTTTCCTGCCAGCGGGAGCGGAGCTTGGACCAAAAACGCCCATCTGACCTTTTCTGGCATGCCTCTGCTGATGAACCGACCTTCACCCGCGGGCGGAGATCTCCGCCTTCGATGTATGCGTCATCGCAACATGTTGAGCACAAGCAGCGCAGCAGCAGCCCACCAGCAATACGCTTCATGCTGCAGCAGCAGTTCTCGTGCAAGACGTATATCCGTTGCACAACAGTAGAATTCCGTCGGTCTCTTGTTTGTTCCGCCGTAGGATTGCAAACTCAGGAACTACTCTTTCGGACATGTGCTCTCTCATGTCGGGGGCTAGGGGCTTTGACAAATGGACTCTGCATCCATGTTAGCATTCTGGCAACAAACTAATTTGTCATGACAGCTTCCATGTTTGTTGAAGTGATGGAATGGTGGAATGAGACCTGGGTATTCCCTTCAAACACTCTCTGTTCCATGTTTGTTGATCCGTACATGTGGGACGATGACTCAGCCAGGAAACACAGTGCAATTGAGTCTTTGTGTTTGAGAGGGTCGGGTGCTTCAAACTTCAACTTTTCAGGATGCAAGGCTAAGGCTATGACCATGAGAATCAATAGACCAGTCTCCAAAAGTGACCTGTCAACAAGAGACACGAGTCTTCCATCCTTGCAACACACAAGAGACAGGCCCAAATGGCCGAGCAAGTTGCAAAGTACATGGGGGCACAAGTGCATGCCGGAGTCTTTCCACAACCATCCAAGCATCAAGATTCCAATTCAACATCAAAGCAAAGCGCTTCATTCTAGCCCTTCATGATTGCCACGTGAGCTGGAAAAATAAACCTGTATTAAAACTACTATCCCCAGTTGTGTTCATTGCAAATCCAAGCGGCGGGCTTCATAAGCATGAGGCCCCCCAATAGCATGCCCCTTTAAATGTCTGAGGTCTCATGTATATACACCGCTGCAAATTGTCTAACAGAAAAAAGACAATACAAAATACAGAAATGGGCCACTGCTGCTCCAGGCAGTTTGGGGGCATCTGCGGGCTGCGCGCGACTTGCGTGGGACTTGCGCAAAAACTTGGTAATCTTTGGGCCATGGTGATGATGATGATGATGATTATTATTATTATTATTATGATGAGTCATCACTGCGTCACTTGCGTTGACACATACAACGGGTATTTTCTTTCGACTCATGTGCTCCTCGCGCAACAAAGCCAAGCGGATCTGGTAGCTCACCTCATCCTGCCCGGAGTGGAAAGGTGAGTTGAGCTGGGGCCCAGGTTAGCTTGTCAAGACCTTGCCTGCGAAACAAATTCAACCCATACCTCGTCCTTTGCCTCAGGCCCTGGACCAGTACATGTGAAGAAGCTCAGCAAAGGGCCTGCTCAAATGACACGCAGAATAGTGGGGCAGTGAGGCAAGTGGCATATCTTTATAGAAGCCTAAGAGGGCAGGCATTACCCAGCAGAACATCCCAACTTCCAAGCGTCTGAAGCCTTTCGCTCGTTTCACACGTGCGTGAACGGTTTACGTTGACAAAGCACAAGCAAGTGACATGCAACTGCCCGTCGTCAACTTCACTAAGGAGTGGAATACATAAGCTGAAGAGCTTGGGGCTCGGGGTGTGTCCACGTGGGATCCCAGTCAAACCACCCAAGCCCGCAGGAAGACAGCGCTATCCCCACAGGAATTACTCTGCTCGCATGCCTCCACATCCATGACACCGAAGATGAGGCCGAAGAGGCCGCCCATAATAAGGGCACAAGCCAAGACCATGTACACCTGGCAACTGAATCCTCAGTCTCTCATCCCATTACCATCCAAAAATAACACAAACCAGGGCTGTAGGAAATGACCACTTCTATGATACAACAGAAAGGGCTTCCCAAAGACTAACCCCCGATATAAACGGGGAGATCCCTTGTATCACATAAGTGGGGAGACACCCCTTGATCCCACAACCCTGACACAAACGCTTACTCAGGTTTGGCACCCTTGGCTTACATCTGGTGTGCACAACCCATCCCTCCGCGTGAACCTCCCTTGTGAAAGAACGACACCTGTTTGGGGCTCGTTCTGGAAACCAAGCACAACAAAAAAGCAGCGGCAGCCCGTTGGTATAGACTTCGATCTCACGACATGGGGGCTCTTGATGGGCTGCTCAATCTCTTCCAATGCGAGCTTATGACGTTCGTCATGGAATTCTTGGATAAGGTGGGAATCCATCCCACAATCAAAGAAATACAATATGTTGCTAAGTTTGGCTCACTTGGCTAAGACAGCTTGCAAGAGCTGCCAACGCCCTGTCAGGATCTCTGCTGGAGCCCCTTTGGACCACTTCCATTTCCACCCCTCGGCCTGTGCTGCAGACTCCACAAAGGGCTTCGCTACTGAGACCTGAGAGAGGATTGCTCTGCGCGCGCTTATTGGTATCTATTGGCCTATTGCTTTTACTGAAGGTTGGCACATTGGCGAATAAACGCCTTGGGCACTTTTAGTTGTTGCCGCAACACAGGGGACAAGAGGGGAATGGCATCTTATGTTGTCTTTGTGGGTACATTGGGAGGTCGCCCGTCCCGATTCAAAAGGCAAACAAGTAATAATGTGCCATCTAGTTTCGGCCAACACGTTTCAAGTTACACTAGCCGCTAACTCTTGAAAATCACACAGGGAGTATACTATTCGATGATTTGGGGAACCCGTTCCCAGTGGACCTGGGTGTCTCTGGAGCAAAGGGAACCTTGCAAATCCAGAAGCTACGCTCTGTTCATCACTATCATAGAACAGTCAATTGATCTAGCAGCTGAAAATCAACTTGGAGCCCCAAAAGGCTGTCTGATCCCAAGAGGAGATTCCTCCACAAAGACTTGTGGTTGTACCTCTGGGCATGATCAGCTCCCATGACCTTGGCGTAGGTCGCTTGGCCACTGGCGGCCACTTGGAGATGAACGTGCTTTGGTTGTCCCACGCAATCTGGCGCCCTGTGTCAAGCTGAAAAACTGATCCAACAATTGTCCTTCATTGGTAAGGTGTTTTATGGTGTATCCATCCCGTTTCATGGTCACCTACATTTCTCATTCTTTGGAAACAACAACCGGCAGAACACCATCTCAACAATGGAAACTGCACTTTCTCCTGTGTGCTTGAGAAACCAATTCAGACTCCTTTATACATTAATAATGTTCTACCTGGACAGCACTCAACACTCCAATCCCCTTCCGAAAGTGCTCCACTCCAATGACAAGGCTCCTGTTTACGCTGTTGGACTCCTACAAACTGGCTGTGCGCACCGTGCAAGCGTTGAACCGCTTCAAAGTGTCGCACCCCCAGCTGAATCTTCGGCCTGGAGGAAGCCCAGGACGTAGTTCACCAGGTCGACCACTGAGAAGGTCAGCGCCTCGGGGCAAATTCTGCGCGCCCCTTGGCCCAACGGTTCGTCATGAAAAGTGACACGACTTGGAAGGCGCGAGCCTCTGAGAGTGGCGCTTTTTGTCCATGCGTTCTTGCAAAGCTTCCATTCTCAAATCTGACTGGCCAGGAAGCCACGTGCTCCTGGTAGGTGTGGTGGGTGCTCCAGTGGTGAGTGCGCCCGTGGTACGCGCTGCCGTGGTGGGCGCTTCAGTGGTGGGTGCTCCAGTGATGGGGGCTCCCTTGGCAGGCGCCCACAACGGCTCCTGTGGGGGTGCAAAAGTGGTGGGTGCTCTTGTGATAGGCGCTCTTTTCATGGGTGGTCTATTGGTTGGTGCTCAAATTGAGCTCGCAAACTGAGATGCACAACTGCAATCCTCTCAATTGCACACAATTGTCACGGCGGCCCG